ACAGCTATATCTATGTATTGCTTAGTAAGTATTGTGAAATATCTTATTAAATCGTTTATCAGTAATAGATATTTAAGATATTTAGTATTGTATTTTTTTTATGACAGGCATTAAGATCATTTGAATCCACATTAAAGTATGATTGTAACAATGCAAATGCCCTCAATTCCGTAAAAGAATTAAAAAATATAATAACAAACATGCATCCAAAAAAATTAATTAGGTAATATCTATATTAAAATATCAAAATTTATAAAATAATTTTTTTATTTAATTTGCTCTTTTTCTAGGGTTCGTGAAATAACTAGACACTATGATGAAACTGTATGGGACATAGAAGACCCATTCCACGTATCTTATTTGGAGCTTTCAGAGTTGAGCAAAGACAATGTTGAGTATGTGTATGAAGCCGATTCTTTTGGTTGTTTAACAGAATGTGTTTGCCAATTATGTCCTTGGCACGAGTGGCAGCAGCGTAAGAAAAAATGGGGTCGTCACAAAATGTTTAAAAATGAAGGGCCAAGGAAACGTTGGCAATTTTTAACACCTGATATTGTGCCTGTATTGTTGTCTACGTCATTAGCCCCAGAAATTCAAAAACCGAAAAGATTGAACATCACTGAAATTAATTCTGCTAAAATAAATGGTCATCATAATTCAACGGTTCTTATTTGGTTTTTAGACATTATGTCATAATTTTATTCACTTTATTATTATAATTATACTCATATTATTGTACATTTCAGAAAATTTGCAATAATGAAATTAACTCAGCTAAAATGAATGGCCATTATAATTCAACGGTTAGAATTTAGTCCTTTGACTTATGTTAATTTATGTTTATAATTATACTGTAAATTTCAGAAAATGAATGGTAATGTAATCAATGGAATTGATAAATCTCCCTGTGAAAATTATGACGATGAAGAAATAAGTATGAAACCAGTGTCCAATGTTAAAGAATTTTTACTAACTTGGAAAATAGCCAGTCAAAAAAATAATTATGAATTATATCATAAACTTTTGCGGAGTATTAAACCAAAAGATTTACCTAGGGGTAAGTACTATGATAATGGATGTCTTTACATATTAACATGTCATGTTGTGCCAACCTGAATAAAGATGGTGAGTGTGCAAATCATAGCGAACTACAAGGCCGTCCTAATGGGGCCATTCCTCCCTCACGCTGTTTAGACAATATACATTAAAATGTACTCAATATTTATTTAAATCCCAAATTTAAGAAATATTTTTTGCTACCCCTTAAGCTTTTTTACTGCGGCCTTAAATGTTTTTTGTTGTGGCCATATTATGTGTTAGAATATAACTTATGAAAGACTGAAATGATTGTTATATTTAACTTAATTGTTAAAATGCATCAATCGTTTACAATGTATTGTAAATAAGTAATGAGGTATATTATAATGTCATAAAGACCAAAAATTGTTGAGAGAATGCCACACTCGCACGTATTTTCAGTCTTATAAACTAATCACATTTTACATTAACAAAAATCCATTTTACATTGTTCTTTTTAAAGTCAGAGTGACCTATCATAAAATTTAATAAGATTCTCTTTTACTTCATAGGGGCTTTTATTGGTATCTTAATTACAAAGCATTTTAATATTGTAATTTTAAAATAATCATAACTTGCTTTAAAATTAAAATAAAAGCATTCTAAGTGGGTGTAACAACTTTTTCACCGAAACCCTATGGGTGTGCATGTTCTTGCATCTAACAATACCATATATTTTTTACTGTTTTTATTGGCATATCAAGAAATCTATTACTTTATTATTTATTTCTGTGTAAAATCTATTGATTCGGCATACATATCTATTTGTATCTATAGTATTGTTTTAAAGTACTGATTTCATCCCATGTAACATATTTTTAAAAACGTGTGAGCAGACTCAGAATAAATAACCTACCTACTTTTATAATTTATCTAAAATTGAGTATTTAATAATTTTGACATGTTTTTATTCATTGATGAAAAACCACTATTTATATGACATATAAGCATACATTTTTATATACTAGCACTTAGTTCTCTGTAATTGCCATACAGATCATCAATAAATGGTGCCCTGACCACCATTTAGATAAATTATTGTGGAAATGTGAACACAATTTGTTTTAAAACTGAATTTAAAAAAAACTTAATATAAATTATTATGGCATCTATATATTACTATTTACACTTATACTTGATTTTTATCTTTAAATAATTAATAACTAATGACTGTATTTTATTTAGTTATAAGTACAAATTTGGATGAAGAAATCATGTCCAAGTTTTTGGAAACCCTGAACCAAAAGTTTGATCCCAATAGTGAATTAGATCTTATCGTAGAATACTTAACAGCCATGACCAAAGTTAATCGATTTAATCTTATTGTAAAGATGTTAGACAACAAAGTTAAAGAAGGTAAAATATATATTTACTAATTATTTGAGTAGATTTTATACATATAGATTCAATAATTAATTATTATAAACTAATACAATTTTTTATTTCAAACATCATAAAAAGCTATAATTTTTTTTTTAAGTATAACAATTAGCTTCTCTAAAATATTACAGACTTACATTTTTTTGGTGCAATCGTTTATGTATTATACTTATGAAATTTACTGTAGCTTTATAAATATAACTTTACATCATCATATACATTAATTCCTTATATGATTTGTTGTCAATTCTTGTTATTTAATATAACACATATGTGTTATTGTTAAAATAATTATTGTATGTATTTTTAAGTTAGTAAATATAATATTTATTTAATGTTTCAGGTTTCCAACCACTATTAGAACGTGTTCATCGCTATACAAAAAATAATTTGTTCTCATCATTATTATGATTATAACTTGTACCAATGATGTGTTACTCTAATTGAGTAAATAATAACAAGAAAATGTATTCATTTTCCTCTTTTTTTGTAACACAAATGTTTTATTGCATCAATGCGTTTTTGTTATGTCCAAGAATTAAAAAAATAATAATAAATGTTTAAATGAATAATAAAACAAAATGTAATTTCAAATAAAAACTGTTTAAGTCTGATTAATAAACCCATCAAATCATTTTAAGAATTTATTAAAATTAAATAGAATATAGAATATTATAGTATACTCTATTTAATGTTATTATCAAATGTGTGAAGTTTTATGTATTAATAATTTAATAATGTTATTGATGTACTGGTTCATTGATAACATTATGTATTTGGACTTATTGATACAACTAATTCCAAACTTTATAAGCAGCAACCAATTTGAATTTAACATCGTCGATCTATATAAAAAACATTTACTGGAAGGGTATTCACTGTTAAATGAACAAATTCTCATCAATCGATTTTTGATTTTTGTTGTAATTCAAAAACAAATAACCATAGACAGTTTTAATGTTCACAAAATGTAAAAACGACCATTTTCCATGCATGAAAAGTTTCAAAATAGTTTCTTTTTGTGCTATTTATAACCATGAGACATTTTTGAATTTTAACAATATTTATCAAAATCCCCTAAATGTGCAAAATATTTATTTGTTAGAAATTCATAAAAAAATTTGTTTTTCAAAGCTGACATTTCAACATTTAATATATGATTTCTTACTTTGAACAGAAAGTAACACTATTTACAGCCATGTTCCATGAGATATTTTTGATTTTAATTATTCAATTTGTTTATTTATACAAGTTTAGTGACACAGTTGGATCTTAAGTTCAAATTCAAAATTTTATCATGTAATTATGATGCTTATATACTATAAATAGATGAAGTAATTTCTTATATACTAAAAATAGATGAAGTAATTTCTTATCTACGAAAAGGAAAAAAAGTCCTTTTCGGAGTTTCCTGCTAAACTTAACTTAATATTATATAGATATTAACTTTTTTGGTCAACTAAACAATGCAAAAAGCACAATACACTTCAAACTCACTGACAAACCTACTTTCAGGCAGCCCAAGCGTGGACATCTCCATGATGCCCTATCTCAACAACACATTTTATATACTAAAAAAAAAAAAGAATTATTATTATATGCTAATACAATCACTGCAATCTCATATTTAAGTATTTACCACCACTGCCCCACATTATACTCTAATAGGTATGCATTACTTACGTATAACAAAGTTATGATGCAAATAAAATGCTGACCACAACTTAGCAATAACCTCGGCTCCACTGTCAGCACCTATTTGAAAAGTTGAAGCAACCACTGGATGTTATTAACTAATCTTATCTCTTAGTAGGAAATATTAAGAGTTACTGCAACGTGGTGGAGGTGCAATCATCAAATTTATGAAGCCAAGCTTCAAGTAAAAGTGGGAATGAGTATCTGAATGACATTTATTAATCATTTGAGTTTTTATGAATTGGATTTGATGGCGGAGTTAGTCATCCACATTGATATGGAAATATTGGTGGGTGTTACTAAATTTATATTGTTGCTTCATAGAAAAAAAAGGTCAAGCAGCTGCTGCAACCACAATACAATATTAATACTGAACAAATTTAAGTTTAAGAACATAGTCACAACTCAGTGTTCAGGTATTTATGATTAACAACACAAAAACAACTAATATTTTAACACTTTTTAATCATTGTTTTAATAGATTAAAAAAATCAGTAATCTAAGCTAAATTAACAATTTAATATGAAACATCATAGATAAGTAAGCTAAAAATATTTTTTCTTCATATTATATTAATGAATGAAGCAACAAACCAAATTCTGTACATAATGATAAATAAGTATATATACATTTTTTTAAACAAAATAAGTATAATTTTTTTTTAACAAAAAGTATAATACATAATTAAGAAAAAAATCAAAATTGTATTATGAGTAAAAAGCAAAAGCAGCAAGTACTTAAAATATTATAACACTTAGTATAAAAATGTAAATTACAATTTAATTTTTATCTGTGAAATTGTAATCTGAAATATTATATTAAGACTTTACCAAGACCCAAGTCAAAATTTAATTTCGTTCTGATAAAATTTTGTTAGTTTTTCTGATATTCTGGTTTCCTCTTTTTTTTTCGTGTTTCTGAAACATAAATGCTGCATTATTGTAAATTCAAATAAGGTTTTTTAATCAAGAAATATAATACCATTGAATGTATATTATACAACATAATGTACAAAAATGATAATACTTAAAATACATTATTAATTATTATGACATTTTGATAAAATTGTTACCTTTAAAACCTTAGGGCTATTTTCCTTAGACGGTAAATTGGATTCAGATCCATCTAGGGATTGCACGCTAGAACTTATAGATGAAGGTATAGAATTTATTGCAGGTTCGCTAAAATCGACTAAACATTTTTGAATAATATCACGTCTCAATGTCGTGTTAACAAAATCTGGAGTGTCAAAGTGTTTTCTTTTTGGTGTTTCTCCTATTATAAATTATTTAAAATATAATTGTATTTTAATAAATTATTTTTTATTCTAAATTCATACCTAATGGCGTGCATTGTTTAGATTCATTCATAAACATATTTATATTTGTTTCTTGTCTGAAGAATTCTTCTTTAACACATAAGCTGCCTGTACCCAAACTATCAACCTGTTTTTCTCTGAGAGCTGAAAAACTTGTGTGAAATTCTTTTGAAATATCTCCAAAATCATCCATTGTTTTTTTAGCATCCAGAAGTGTTTCGGATACACTGTTTGTTGTTTTCTGAATAATTAAAATAAAAAAAATTGAAATTTGTTTACTCTACAAGTATAATATTTAAATATATTACCAAAATGTTATCATTGGTAGTTTCTACGTGAGTTTTTATTTCTTGAGTCAAATTATTTAATTCTTTATTTATCGTAGTTGAAATTTTTGAGAGTTCATCCTTGTTATTACTACACTTCTCTGATAACGTTTTTAATTGAGCTCCATCAGTAATGGTATTCATTGTTAAACGACTCTTTAGGGAAACAAAATATTTCACAATATAGGTAATAAGGAAGAAATTATCTAATATCTACAAATTAAAAACTAAATTATAAAATAGATAAATATATTAACTTACCTCATTTGTATGGTGTTCAATTGGTTCTAGCAAAGTAGAGTTTTGTGAATGTATTCTTTCTAACGTTAGTACACATGGCACCAAATCTTTAATTCCTTTATTTTGGTTTGTGAACATTTCTGATATTTCATTATTTTGTGTATGGAATTCTAAATTTATCTCATCATATTTTTTAGTCTCTTCGGCATTTTGAATATTTTCTAAGAATTGAGTATTGAATTGTTGACATTGTAAACTATAGTTAAGAAACTGGTCTTTGATCTTTTGGATTTTCTAAAAATATATAACATTTATTATAAATTGTTTACATATATTTATTATTTTTTATAAAAGGAACACAACTTTACTTTCAATGTTTCTTGTTTTTCTATATCCATGGATTCATAGCATTTTTTCAAACGATTAATATAAAGGTTTTCAATGGATTTATTTAAAGCCTCTTGAGTAGTCAAACGATACTTAATTTCACATAGCACATCATTTATATTTTTGTTGTAAGATTTTGTCTAAAACAACATTTTCAATATTTTATATCAAATTAAATAATTTCCTATTCAACAATAAAATAATAGTGACTTAATTTAAATATATTCATATTTAATTATGCATTCATTTAAACAGTTGGTCTCAAACACTTTCAGTGTTACCCGCAATTAATGTTTATTTTAAAAAACGTTGATTAGAATAAATAATTATCAAACAAAAAGCAAAATATACAATATTTGTAATACCTAGAGGAAAAACAGTTATATTATAATAATTATAATTAATAGGTGGCTTGGCGTGGCGCGTTGGCTGCTACCAGTCGCGAAATGCAACTGGGAGTAAGTAATGGCCACAGCTACTAGCTCTTGGATGGATGACCACCTGGGTTCATAGTAGTTAAAAAGCTTGCCATGTGTTTGCAACCTTAACAATCGTAAAAACAACCTATCGTACCAACGTTGCCCCTACAAAAGTCGCCAGGTTTAAGTTTAATAATAAAAAAAAAAATATTATTCTTAGAAAAAATTACATCATCAATTATTTTGAATTTATTAATTAAATGAGTAAAACAAAGGTTAAAAAAAATGTTTTTCCACTACTAATTTGAGTTTCAGACTACAGATCTAAACAATTAAAAAAGTTATAAGTACCAGAAACAAAAAAAAACTAAAATTAAAATCTACAACATTTTGGTCTTTTGTGGAATGAATAATTTCCATTCTAAAATTTAGGTATAAAAATATGTACATACATTTGTGAATTATTTTAAATTATATATTAGATATTATCTTATCAAAAATCACCTCATTTATGTGATTTGAAATTGCATCATGATATAAATCCATGGATGTAGTAACATTAATTATTGTGTCTGATTTGTCCATTATATTGACTTCTAAAAGTTCCATTTCCTTTAGCAAATTAAGTATTGTTTGATCTATTTTATTTTTTCCATTTTCTCCTTGATTCAATATGTCCATTACCTAAATAAAAATAATGTTAAATATCAGGCATAATTATTTTACAAAAAAATTACTTGTTTTTTCATATTGGAGAAAATATTCACTGTTGCATCATTAATATTATTCATCTTATTCATAACTAATTGTAAATTACTTTTGATTGAAGTATTTTGATTGAGCATGTCGTCTAAAATAAAAGATTATGTAGAGTAAATTCATATTTACTTTTATTTTTTTTTAATATGTTACCACTGAGTTTTTCTTGTATATCTAAATATTCTCTATTTTTACTTTCAAATAACGTTAAAGTTTTTGAAAATGAAGTATTTGTTTCCACTACTCGATTCCTTAACTTCTCAATGGCTGATTCGTTTGTTTTTTCTACATCACTATAATTTTAAATATATTGAAATTACCAATATGAAGGACAAATATCCATAAAATAGATAAATCAATGCAAAATAACTAATTTAACTTACATAGTACGGTCTATTTTATCATGAAGTAATTTCATGTCACTTTCATAAATTTCAGCCAAGGACCTTAAGTTTGTTGCTTCTTTGTCAAGTTTAACAATAAGACTGTCTCTTCTGTCGCGTTCATCCATTGTTCGTATTAAATCAACTTTTAATTCCCGCATTATTTCCTTCAAACATAAAATCAGGTCATTATTAAAAATGCATTGAAACTATAAGACCTTGTATTATAGTAAAATGACTAGTAGGGAGAAAATTGTTTTTTTTTTGTTGTTGAGTCAAGTTGAGTATTAATTTTTTGTAGTTGAGTAGTTCAATATTTAACAGTGAACTCAAAAAGCTTTGAAAATAATGAAATTGCAGGGCTCTATTATTGAGACACATAATTTAATTATTTAACAGATAACTTTCAGAAGCATACTTCTTTTTTATTTAATTCTTCATTAACAGCTCGGATAGTAGCAATTTTTTCACAGATGTCTACTTCATTTTTTTCTAATCTCAACACCATGTCATTGTAATTTTCTTCAGCTACATAAACACCATTTTTATCTCTAGTGGCAACTAAATCTCGCTTAAGTTTTTCTATTTCATCAGTATATTCCTAAAATAATTAATTATTTCAATTAACATTTTTAATATTACAATTTGTAAGGAAATTTATACCCGGATTAAAGCTTTTTTTGTAAATTTCTGATTAACTTCTGGCTTATTTTTTATGCTCTTTGCCCTAGAAGCATAATCTAATGTGCTCATAGTTTCTTCCAAATTACAATGTGATGGGGATATAGTAGCAATAATAGATGTTTTAGTTTTACCTCCTAAAGAATCTTGCAACAATCGAGTAAGTTTTGATTCTCTGGAAATAAAATTTTTTTGATATTAAAATTTATTGTCATTAACATTTAACTAAATTTCTTCACCTGTATGGGACATGAGGAGTTTGTTCCACAAGTGATGTAATACAGCGACCAAGTGTAAGTAAAGATTTATTGATATTACCAGCTTCACAAGCTCGTCTATCAATTGCACCAGATCGTCCAATATTTTCACTACCAGCCAAGTCTACAAGATTTAATTTTCCAACTCTGACAATATCTTCATTCTCAATAGTTGATTCTTTTATATGAACAGTTATGGTAAATATTGTATGTGAACGACTAAAAATTGATACAACCATAAGTATAATAAAATTGCACAATGTAGAGTATAAATAAAAAGTTAAATAATATAATTTTACCTAGACTGAGTATTCATTAATGTTGCAGCTGTTTGTCGTCTTTTTGATCCCTTTTCTAGTAACTTATAAACTTCATTTTTGTTACTAACAATAACTTCTTCTAAGCCACGTACAATTACTGAACCTTTTTTTTCTTCAAAAATCCTGTATTTAAATGTAATTAATACATATACATAATTGCATACATTTTTAAATAGATATTAAAATAATTAAATTTTACTGTTTTTTTTTTTTTTACCTTAGAGATTTATTAGACGGTTCTTCTGTACAGGAAAGAAGATCGAAAATGTCTTCATTATAAAGTTCCAAAAATGATGCTCTAACAGTATGTTCAACTTTTAAGAGTCTAAGTTCATCAAACATATGACTTAAAGCTCGCGGAATAATCCCTGAAATTGGGTCCTAAAATAATGTTGATAATACAATTGTAAATTTTATAGTAAGAATCTGGTTAAATAGATTTTAATACAATTCATTCTATTTTTTGTATAATATGAATGTTTATATAATTAACATATAATATACCGTATTCCAAGATATTGATGATTGTCCATTTAACCTATCACCTTCCATGGTAAAAGTCTTTCCTGTTCCAGTTTGTCCATATGCGAATACTGTACAATTGTAGCCATCCAATACTTCTTTAATTAATGGGTATACAACAACATTATAAACATCAACCTAAACAGAAATAATATTAAAATTAAAGCAGGTTAATAAATAAATAACAAAGTATAAATACTTGTTTTGAATTTTGTCCAAAAACTTTATCAAAGTGAAATGTTTTAGTACGACGATCAGCTAAAACTGTTTTTTCTGTTACTATAACTTCTTTATGGTTAGATGAAACGTCCACAACAGATAAGCCTTTACTTTTATCTGCATCATTCATAGGTCTTTTAAAATACGAAACACAAAATTAATAATTTATAGTGTACCTATAACTAAATATTTTATTTCAGGTATATTTATGTTAAGTTAGTAATATAAGCAAATAAAGAGTCTCAGTTAGAAACCCATGTAATACTTGGTTGGTATTATATTTAACAAAGTATTGCTGTAGGTACATAATATAAATTTTAATTTCTATCTATATTACTAAATCATTCTTGCTTGACATTTAAAATGTATATTACAAACATAAGTATCTTGATTGTTTAAGGTATATAATCCTGGCTATTATCCTAATTTTGTTTTAATTATGTACCTACAGATACATACTCCATAGTTCTCATTCATGAAAAATTCAACTACAACTGGTTTCCGCCTGGTTTTGTTTAATGTTGAAAGCATGTTCATGGTTAAATAAATTCAAATTACTACACATAAATTATGATTGGACAATCATATTAATCTACAATTTCACAATAACCTTTAAAAAATATTTTTTAAATTTAACTTCAAATGTATTTTTAAGTTGTATTTTTCAATACCTTTTTATTATTTTCTTGTACCTAGACAGTGAGTGGGGTAACATTAATGGATCATTGCAACCTAAATTTTAAATTGTTTATCATAATACGTTTTTTATTTAGGGAAAATGTAGTGGTTACTTACAAAATAATTATTCCTTGTTATATATAGGTTTATAATTTAAAAAAAAAAATATTGAATAAATGTGTAACTTTATATTTATACCTCACTCTGACAAAAACTTCAATCGGTTTTTCATTTGATGAATTTTTTTTCTGAAGAAAATGGTCTGCCATTGTCAAGTGTTTTCCAAAAAAACAATCAAGTCAAAATACGTGTGAAATTGGTTTAAAAAATTACTTATTACAGTTAAGAGTTATAACAATTGTTATGAATTTAGGTCAGTTTTACGGTTATGAGTTTACACAAACACAATTCACTTTACAGTTAACACAAACGATTCGAACTTAACCGACAGCAGGCATTCGGAATTAATAATTCACTATCCAGTATTCAACTAGTGGTTAGTGAGTTGGTAATTTAGTATAGTGAGCATGAGCATTGGGCAAATACAATTACAATGGGAACACACAACAGAGAATCTCGATTCTCGGTACTTGACCGTTAAAACTTGAATTTTGTAGACAAATAGTTACCAACCAACCAACAATCAGTATACAATCACAGTTAACAATAATATTGTCCGCCATATAAAAAAAATACAAATTGTTCTATGATGCAAATGTTCCACTTCATTATCATACACCCTACTCCAGGTGCACAATAGTAAGTTAGTAGTCAGGTGGAAAACGCTATTAGATTAGTAAATTAGTTTGATAAACGTTATCTTTTTATTTTTATTTTTATTTATGAATGTACTTAGTACTTACTACTTAGTACTTACTAATTATAACATATATTTTAATAACTATTAACTAATAAGTATTAATTAATTTTTAATTAGTTACATAAAATAAGGAATTCATACGAACATTCAACCATCATAATATATCAAATTATTTTTTATTATTTTATAAGAATTTATAAAGGTATTTGATAAAACTTAAAAATAAACCATGTCTAAGACTGTAAGAAAAGCTGCTGGATTTGTAGTTTATAGAAAAAACTGTGATGAAATAATTGAGTACTTACTTATGCAAGCATCTTATGCAAATCACCATTGGACGCCACCGAAAGGTTTTCATTCAGCAACTAACCATGATTCATCTAATTGTTTAATATTGGTTTATGTTAATTTTAGGTCACTTAGAGGAAAATGAATCCAACATGGATGCAGCTATACGAGAAACTGAAGAAGAAGCCGGTATTAAAGTGAAAGATCTTACTGTTGATCATAATTTTGAAAAAGTGTTGAAGGTATAATTAGTTGTTTTGTGCCTAGTACGTGGTTTTCTGTCTTTGGATAAAAATTATAATTGCTACACGCTCCATCACTTATAGGCTATATTATATTTTTTTCAAACTGTTGATTGTTATACAACTCAAATTTTTTTTTTTAGTTCATTGCTCACCTTTTCTTTTGATGTTGCATCATTTTTAATATGTTCTATATTAATGTTATGAGGATGCCCCGTAACTCTCTTCCCTTAAACCATGTTCTATATAATTGTTAATTATACTATGCAGCTCTTCTAGCGTCTATGTGTCTTAAGACATGTCCAAGCATTTTCCAAAGTCTTGCTGTAATCGAATCCAAAAATTTATATTTTTTAAACAATTCCAAGTACCTTTGTAAATTTTTCTCCCTATCTAGCTTATCCTTTCCATACACCTCCAGTAGCACAACTCAAAGTTCTTTAGTCTTTTCATTTTGCTATCATTTATGCCCCATGATTCGCATCAATATATTGCTATAGTTCAGGGGTGGCAAACTTATTCCGGGTGTGCCGGAATTGGCAAGTTGTCCAAATTTCAATAGTACGACAAAACTAATCAAAATATTTTTTTGGTATATTTCATAATATTTTGTCTGTATCTTGTAAAATAAAAGTTTACAAATAAACGTGCAATAAAATATGTACAGTAGTTATTGCTTATCTTCTTTTATACTCAGTAAAAATGCAATTACGGAGGAGGGGGCACGCAATTATATTTTAAAAATGTTGTTTTTTAATTTTGGCACTTGGCCCTAAAAAAGTTCCCCACCCTGCTATAGTTGCTATGCTCAAAACATAGGTATAAGTAATTTTATTTATTTATAAACTGAACTGACTGCTGAGGTCCTTTATAATATTTTGAGATGTATTTTTTTTTAAGTTTAAAGTTTATAAATCTAAGATGCAATCCCATGCATTGTTTTATTTTTATATGGTCTTTCCATCAGATGTGATTTTGCTAGATAAGTATACCATTTAAATTTTGTCTATTTTATCTTGTCTTTGACTCATTCACTGCCTACTTATATATACATCAGCTTTTATTTGCAGGTCTGGTACAAACTGATGTTTTCATTTTTCCTCTATTTAATATTTATTTTATTCTCTGATGTTCTAATTCTTATTTCTGCACTGAATTTAAGAATACTCTAACTAAATGTTAAATTAGTATTATCATTTTCCCAGTGGTTGAAATGGCTCAAGATAAGTGGAGGGATGCCTTACAATTCAGATTTCCTGATATCACCATAACATTCTTCATACCTTGTATAGGTAGTAGGTTAGGAGGTTAAGTTAAAATATTATGTTATTAGCTCTAAACACGACTAAGGTTAGTGTGAATTCTTAATCCGTGACTCTAAATACGGGTATAGATAATATGATTGCGAAAAAGGCCTATACGAAAAATAAAAAGTTTTCTTATACATAGGTATAAATATAAAAATCATAATAATTATTTTATTTTAAAACACAAGTCTTAGGAGGAATGCGTTATTCTAGACAAAATAAGTAGAGGGATGAAAAATGTAAATACAAAAAAGTAGAGGGATATCATCCCTCCGTATGCCCCCCCCCCCACTACGATCACTGCATTTTCCACAATAATAAATATTAAATAGGACACCATTTACTACAAAACCTGTTAGGTGCACTATGGTTTAGGCGAGATACTAAAATATATATAGAAAAAAATTTAAACTTGTATTTCATATTTTTGTATAAGCTTATATGTATGTTGTGTATGTATATAAATATAATTTAAGGTTTATTAATTACCTTACTGAATATAAATAATTAATGAAGACGAAAACATAAAATTGTGTGATAAAAAATAAATTAAAAATAGATACTAAGTAGGTGGTGTCCATTATAAATTATAATTAATATATATTTCAAGTATGAACTATGTTTAAACAACAAATTCAACCATTATTTTAAGTTGAAAGGTGTTGATAAAACTAGTGGTGTAAAAACATACTTACAACATTATTCATTACTGTTTTATTAATTATCCCTCTTTATTATCATCTTGGTACTCAGTAGCCAGTTGAGATTAAAAAAAACATTCCTGTGCTAGGACTTATGTAATATTACTAATTAGGGATAATATAAATGGAAAATTAATTTTTTTATATCTTATGCATTATTTATTTATTTGTTAAATTATGTTGTGTAAACGTTACGGGTATCAAGTATCTACAAAAGACATAAAAAAACATATTCAGACTAAAAACTAATTAATTAAGTGTAGAAATATATAAAAAAAAAATTCTAGTAATATATAAATGACTAATAAGTACATATTATGACAAAATATAAACATTTCTTTTTCTTTTTCATCTGATTAATGAATATCTTCTAATAATATCATTGATTTTGTTTTAAAATTATCACGAGAAAGAAATATTATAATAAATTTATTAATACCATATTATTATTTTGAATTTTTTATGTTTTACAGTATGATCCAAAAGATAAACCATTTTCCAAACAAGTCACTTATTGGTTAGCTCGTTTAATTAATCCTGATACACCGGTAGTGTTGTCTAATGAACATCAAGATTACAAATGGTTACCTCTAATAGAAGCTAAGAAAGTGGCTGCATATCCTGAAATGCAAGAATTATTTGATGACTGTGAAAATCATTTAATTAAAACTAATGTCAAGTAGGTTGTACACAAGTATTTTTTGTTATTAATGAATTGTACTGCTTAAATTAATTATCGAATAATATTTAAATGTTGTCATTAAATAAATTATACTAATTAATAAAAAAATATATAAATGTATTGTTTTATAAATTCACTACCTACATATTATGATAGAAATATTACATATTGGCTTTTACATAGATATATTAGAAAAATACAAGTTCTATAAATATATAATGTATATGCATGTAATAACTTTTATTACTTCCACTGGTCTAGTCAGGGAGGGTTTTTGTGTTTTTCTACCTCAAGACAATTTTAGATTCTGAGCGGGACAATAAATGTCTTGATTTTACAATAATGTATTCTTTTAATTATTTATTTTTTTTGTCTGTCATCGGTTTCTTGTAGTGCTGGACATTGGCTTGCCTAATCCTGACTACAAATTAAAATATAGAATCCGGATTGGCAGATTCAATCCATCTAAACCGGATTCACGGGTTCAATCCATAAATCCGAGTAATGGGTTTAATTTATAAAGTTGAATTAATAGTTTAAAAAAGGTGGGCAAGTGGGTGTCACTCTGCTGTACAATAGGTTGCAAGTGAGCCACTGTAATGGATTGTGTTAAATTTGAATCCTATGATAAAATATCATTGTATAAAAAAAACGATACTGAGCGAAGATGATCAGTCAGCCTATGATATTATTGTGAATAAACTTATTTATACATGAATTTATATTCATAACCTATTTAAGTGGAATCTTGTTTAAAATTTTCAATTCTTAACTATAAAAGTTGAACATTTTATCAATTTTTAACTACAAAACAATTTTAAATTTGAGTTTGTCAAAATTTGAACTTTAAATGCATATAAAAAAAATTGTGCCTATGTATTTTTAATATTTTTCAACTGCTATAGTAACAATATATCAGGAGCCTTGGATTAGGTTGGTTAATATTCGATTTATAATAATTATCTAATCTTTTATCCGGGTAAACAGATTAATAACGCTTGCTTTAATCCGGATTTGATGTCCAGCACAAGTTTCTTGCAGTAAAAGTGCTTTGATTTTCTTCAACAGCAACTTCTCTGATAGGTAAGTGAATCTTGTTGGTGCATTCAGGAGGTCAAAATTTAAAATTCCCAAAAGCAACAGGAAAAACCAATTAAAAATTAAGGAAAAACAGGAATTTATACACGAAACCAGTTTTCAAAAAAAATAATCTTAGATATATGAAATGTTCTTAAATATTTGTGTTAGCATTTTCTATACACCATAAAATTTGTTTGACTGTTAAATATTTTGATATATTATATAATATATATATTACTGGTTAAAATAGAATCTATATCTGTCAATAATGTTCATAAATAAAAACTACATTGATTTAAAAAATACATTTCAATTTCTATTCATCAATCCGAAATAGATATTAAAATCATTTCAATAGACAATTTCATTAATTTATTCTGAATATATAAAATACTTTATATTGAGACATTGATTTCTTAATTATCTTATTTTTCACCATGAGGTATTTTTGAACCATTCATTTATTTAACAATCTTCATTACCTATTCAACTACAAAATAATAAAACATTCATATACACAACATTACATTGGTAGCATGTTTATTAACAGAGTAATTTAAATATACCAAATGCAGCAGTTTATACAATATAGTAAGTAATGCTAGTAGTAATATAAGTCAGTAACTTAACTGTATGAAATTTAAAAAACAGTCACAGTATGATCAATTATTTCAATAAAAATAAGGATGTTACATCCCATCAAAATATTGTTACATCTTATAATCAAATAATGCAATATTCCAGAAAATAAAATTATACTTGTACATAATGATCAGAGAATCAAATAAAACATAAAATTAAATAGGCTTTTACTAAACACTTTTGAATTGCAATAGATAATACTTTCTTTTTGAAATATTATAGAATTTCAAACATGTTGCAATTATAATTGGGAACAGTCTCTAGAAATTAATGAAAAGTGGAATAAAAATTCCCGACCTTAGACAAAAAAATTCTGACTAAATATTCCTTACAACCACATGAAAATGATTGAACTCTCAATATTTTTTAAATGCTAGTGTAATTATTAATATTTAATTACAAAAATATACTTATAGTATAGGTATACTTACCATAAAAAAATTAATTCATGAATAATAAATAATTTTCAAACATTAACAATATTATTTTATATTATTATATTATTAAAAATTAAATCCCTGAATTAAAATATTACATTTCCTATAGTTACCCGATTTTTTCACATTATTAGGAAACACTAATAAACAACTGTGAGTAACTACATCCATTAACTGTTTGTTAATGAATTTTATTTTTATATAGTTTAATCTTTTAAATAATATTGTCTCTATAAAGCATAACTTGTAAAAATGCCTCCTAATAATTATACTTACACTAACATCAAAATATTATAGGAAACATAATATTTTGTTTTGGGAATTTTATTTTTACAGAATTATACAGAATATCATAATATAAAACAAAATATTACTAAAAATAATTGTTCAATCAGTTTCATCTGGTTGTGAATAATATTGTAATCTGGACATTTTTTTCTGGGGTTGTACGTCAGAAGATTTTTATTCCGATTACTGATATTAAAAATACATCATACACACACATACCTACTCATATATTTTTAGAGTATTCATTTTTATATAAATTAAAAAAAATTTGCCTCAATAAGATTTCAAATTTTTTTAGTTAAGGAAAAGAATCATTAGTAATACAAATAATATAAACACATTTTATGAAACTTGGTTATTATTTAATTGATTTTTGTCAATTATATTAATTAGGAAGAAAAAATTGAAATAGTTTGAACACAACTTAAAAAAAAAATACTTTTTCAAAACAGAAATTTCATTTTTTTTAAATCAGAATCAATATAATCAGATATATATATAATATATACCAACAGAAAATAAATTGTTAACCTCTGTAATACTCAAAAGAATCAGGCTCTTTACTTGCCACTTTCAAGAGCTTGGATTTCTGCCAATACTTCGCTCTTTTTGGATATCTTCACACGTTGATCATTATCAATTTTACCACCTTGAGCAACCTTAAGTTCCAGTTCGTCAATGGTCTTCAACTTTTTCTTGAGGTTCCTAATTCTTTTAGCTGCTTCAACTGAAATCTCAATAACGGGAGCAGCAGGCTTTCCTTTGGGTTGCGTTTTAGGTTGGACTTGTGTCTTAGATTGAGATTGTGTCTTAGGTTGTGCTTGAGTCTTCGGTTGAGCTTTTGTTTTGACTTCAGGTTTGGTGACCTTTTCAGTCTTTTTAATTGCTGCTGCACCATTTTGCTGTACTGGAGGGATTGTTTTTTTTTCAACCTTCTTGGCTTGGGTACCATTTGTCAATACTGGGGTTGGTTTTTTATCACTAACCTTGTTTGGTTTGTTCTCTTGTTTTGTTTCTTTTTTAGATGTGTCTTTCTTCGTATCTTTTTTAGCATCCTTCTTTCCTTCCTTCTTGGTTGGTTTAGGAGGCGAAGGAAACATAATTCTATGAAACAAAAAAGAAATATACACAATGAAAATAAGTACATAAGTAGGTATAATTTTAATAATTAAGAGTTATTTAATCATAGGCATTTATTCTCACTTCAAAATTGCTTCAAGACTAGCAATCTCTTTGCTGACCGCATTTTTGGTCGAAATCTTTTTACGTTGGTCATTATCGATAGAATGTCCTTCGGCAACTTTAACTTCCAACTCTTCAATATTTTTCAACTTTTTCTTGAGATTTCGTACCCGCTTAACAGGGTCAGTTCCTGTCTCTACTTCAGGCTTCTTTTCAACTGGCTTATCCATTTGTTTTGGAACCTCGGGGATTTTAATTTTCTCTTGTTTGGGTTGTTTTTCAGTGAGAACTTGTTTGGTTTGTCGCTGTTGTTTAGGTACCGCAACCATTTCAACAGGTGCGCCAGGAGGTAATTTAGGTTTATTGGAAGCGAATTTTTTACCTTTGGATTCGTAAAGTTTTACTTCGTCCTGGGGAATATAGTTCTCCTTAAGCCGCCTTTCCTTACGCCAAGTACCGTCTGAGCGTTGTGTAGCTGGAACGAAGTAACCCTTATCGTCTTTTAAAATAGCAGAAGTTTGGTCCAAGTACTGATGGGCCATTTGCTACTTACCAATACTGCAAATTATCAGATTACAATTACTTGAAAAGTAAAGTAAAATACCGTCACAAAAAGCCACGCTTTCCGCTTCTGGTCAAATGCTTCACTTCAGTTTTCAACCAAAAACTTGTAGCGTGTGCTTCTCAGTCCTCGTAAAAAAAAAAAAAATCTTATCATAAAACCGTCGTTGCTACAAAGGATACAACAACAATGTGACCAACCGGTGTTAAATTATTTTCAATGAGGTTCCAAATATGTTTTTGCATCAACTTTTAAGTTAGAACTAATTTGAAAATTATTAAAAATTAGAATTACAACTTTCAACTCACAATTTAATAATTATTAATTATTCTGATTCTTATTTGTTGTTGTTATTATTATACATTTACCTTCCCAGTAGTTTTACTGCCTACTTAATAAGTACTAATAATACCACAGATTATATGATTATACTACTATTGTTCTAAACTATGGTCTGTGCTATTACCTATTAGCTACTACCAAAAATGTACAAATAGATGAACAAAATGTACACATCTATTGAATATTGATTTCTGACGTTAAAGCTGAGTACGTACAAATCCTGGATTTTAATGCTATGGATATCTTTTTCTCGGGATAGTCGAATTGTACTCATTACTTAATACCTATGAATAAGTCAAATTGCATTTAGATTTAAAAATAGTAGTGGTCGAACTGCACTCTTTCAAAAAAGGAATTAAAATTCTATAAATCTTATACAGATGATTTTATGTCAGCTATCCCAGAAGACCACGCTGTTCAAGAATTTAGTGACTACTTAGTTGATAATTATATTTCTAACAATGGACTTTTATATATTTGTATTTATAAATGTTTTAACACAATTATAAATAGATACTTATATTTGAATGCAGAATATTGAAAAAAAACAAATGATATTGAAAAGTATATCATACTATTAACTTATATGCTCAAAACGTATTACCAGGTTAGAGTTTTTGAATGCAGTTTGTTATTACTACAAACAATGATAAAAATGAAAAAAAATTAATAATATTTAATGATTTAAAAAAAGATTGAAAAAAGTATAAGTTTTATACTATCACTACAAAAAAATTATTGAAACTAGATTAAAAAAAAGTTATAATAATGACGATAATAATATTTGATGATTCAATGTGTATTTTTTTATAATATTATATTAACATAATGGACATTGGACAGTGTCACAGTGGTATACATAAAACAATCATTTTTAACCATACCAATAATTAAAATCACTGTCAGTCCGAAGCCTGTAAGTGGGAAGGGAAATTAGTGTTTTCTAAACGTTTATCCCTTCAAATGCATTTTTTTTTTTAAATACCTATTTTTAGTCAAAGTTCAGTTATACTGAAAAAGTGCAATTCGACGATACCCCTTTTTCTTTGGTCTTACTTTTAACATGTAAGTACCTTAGTACCTACCAGACTTTAGGTATTTTTTGAATTTGAATTTTTGATCTTTGAGTAGAATATTATGTATCAGTGTGTCACCAGAGTTGGCCAGCCAAAAATTATAAAAAAATAAATAACCAATTATTATAGAAATTATATTGTATTATTTAAACATAGAACATGTAAATATGTAATAAGTATTTTTTCATTTAATTTGAATTCATATCATGTTATCCAAGTACTAACTAATAACTATTAATATATGTGTGCATTCTGCATAATATTGTTAATTATTAATTGTAATATATGCCAAGTCTACTTATTTTATCAGAGTTATTTTTCAATATCTGCTGCCGTAGTACTGTAGTCAATTCCACTTTTGTGTTAGTCAACGCTTTATTTATATCGTCAGCACAAATTGTTTTTTTCGTCAAATCGTCAATGGATTGCAAATGTTGTACGATTGTTTCTTCATAGTCTTTAGCCATGATATCCAATGCTTCATTTTCATCAATAATATTTTGTAAGATACGTTTCTTAATCATATCTTGAAGTTTTTTGTCCTTATTTGCTAAATTATTTTCAATAACCTCATTCCCTTGTTCTGTAAATAATATAAATTTATTATGTACTGAAATTGTTATATCGTAATTGGTAATATAATAATATATTATATATTTATTATTTATATAGACATAGTGCCCAAATGGCCAAAAGGCCCAACTGGCACGCCGGTTGTTTTTTGGGCATCACTATTGTTAATTTTGACCTTTTTTTGTAAAACTGCGTTGCGCATCGTTCGAACTTTCGGTTATAGGTACATCGTTTGCGCATCAATCGTTTAAGAGGTCGTACATCATTTGTGCATCAATATTATTTATTATATTGTATAGGTATTTCAGTTTTAAATAATATTTGTGCCGTTGCAATATTGTATAATTCAAAAACTTGACTACAATCAAAAACCGCAGTATATCACCGATGAAATAAACTAGTTTCATTTTGTAAAAATAATGGGACATTAAACAATATACCAAGTACCTATTGATTTATAATATTATTTTTAGTGCTTAATTAATTAATTTGTACGCAATTAATTTTTTATTAATTTCTACTCAAACAATACGTATATATTTGAATTTTAACAATGACTATAATGTGTCTAATTGAGATTAATACAATTTATTGATGGGAAGGGTGTAAAATTATGGTTGACTCATGGCGCAAAACCTGTAAATATGGCCCTGTTTATAGTACCTAACCTAACCTGGCTACCTATATAATAATAATTATGATAAAAAAATATACATATACCTATAATTGGATTTTCTATAATGCCTATTATACTATTAATATATAATATATTATTATTTATTAGATAAGATGAAAACAATAAGGTATAACACATAGCCATATAGACATTACTCTATAATATACATAGACCTATTAAGAAATGGACTGCGCATTGAGAGAGAAAACCAGTGTGATCGTTGAGTAAGAAAGGTCTTAATAGTTAAAATAGGTCTATGATAATATAGGTACCACAGCACTATACTCTATTGCCCGCGGTAATCGAAAAAAAAAGTCCAGAAATACTTTTTCTTGTACAGTTCTAGAGTTGTTATTTTGTATTTTAGTGTGTAATGTATAAAATGCTTGTATTATATAATATATATTATAATAATTACATATATGATATATTTGTTATCCACCATAATATCTATCACAACTCTTATGGTCTTATAGTCATAATATAGGTAGGTAACGAGTACGAGTATGAGTGAGCGTTTGTTTTCGAATTTTATATTTTTTCGCAGTTCAAAAGCGAGTTTGCATTTAAAAATAGAATTAATTAATTCTAAGAAAAATACCCTCAGGTTGAGTACATCCACAAAGAATGCTTTCATTTTATTCGTTGGAGGTGTTCAAAAAACAGCTCTATGAAGTGTCCTGGATTTTTGAAAACTGATTTAGATATAACTCACCCAACTTTTATTTCTGTGCTTAATGATCAAAGGAATGAATAAGACGATATAACGTTACTTCGAACAAAGCAAAAAGTCTTAGAAGTTCTATTTTAAATGTAGATCTTGTGACATCTTTAGTCGTATTAAATAAAGGTTTTATGGATTATAACTTTTAAAATTCCTACAAAATTAAATATTGATCTAAAATTGGCTGTACAATTAGTAAATGATACAAACCAAGAGTTACACGAACTTTTAACACACGCTGATGACATTTTTAAGGAAATATTTGAAAAAGTAAAAGTAGTAACCGAAAAATACAATATTTAAATTAAAATCCCGAGATTACCAAAAAAACAAACTAATAGATGTAATATTTCATTAGACACCGCGGAAGAATACTATAGTCTATAGAGCATCAATTTTAATTCCTTATCTTGACAAATTTACTACAGAGTTAGAAGAAAGGTTCAATGTTCATCGATTGATTTAATCAAGTTTCGATTTTATATATTTAGAGAAAACAATATCATCGAAGATATTACAATTCTTTTTAAAGAAATAAATAAAAGATCTACATAATGATGAAACTAAAAATCAAATAATTGAAGCAGAATACAAATTATGGCGAAGAAAACTCATGCAAACAACAGAGAATGCCCAAATAATGCTCTAGAGGATACATGGCCTATGGCTATTTGTAACCAGTCAATTTATCCGAGTATATTAAGCTTCTCCAGATCTTAGTCATGCTTCCTGTTACCTGTGTAACAAATCAAAGGATATTTTCAAATTTAAAAAGAATAAAAACATGTTTAAGGAATTCCATATCAGAGGTGAACTATTATGAACTTTAAAAAATATTCTTGGTAGGTATACCTAATAATTTAATTGACTGATCCCGTACAGTTTGCTGCCTGTTAAAAATGACAACTCTATATGAGACTCGATGGTGATAATGCGAGCAGTATATCGTGCCTGTGCCCTGTGGATTGCGGACCCCGCTGGATGAGTACTTTATATAAGTAATGTTTTATTTTTATTTTGATTGCGGATACGACGATATGCGGTTATAAGTGCAACTCAGCCACCTTGGTAGGCAATGTGCGAAAATTTAATTGTGTGCATGCTTATACCTGATCTTTCCGATAAACCACTGCAAGCAACCAATAAACAAAAAAAATACCAATTTCTACTAAATATATTTATATTTCTCCTAACCTAACCAATAGCAACCGTATATAAACAAATATTTCCATCATAAATCTTAAAATCTCTATTTCAGCAAATCCCCGGGTTGGATCGTTCGGGTCTTTCGGGTCCAATTGTGAATCTCAACCATCCAGGGCGTCACCCAAACGCATGTAAAAAAAAATCATTAAATTTGGTCCAACCATTTATGAGGAGTTCAGTGAGATACACACGTTCAGTAGAATTATATACCTAGGTATATAAAGATAAAGATATTGAATTTTTTAGACCTCCCCCCCTTAAAAAAAATTGAAAACGCCACTGTATACAATATCCAAATAAAATATAATATATGCAATATGAGCATAATATGGTGCATAATATTAAAAAAATAGTAGAATAATTACTAGTGAATAATGATAGTAGAATTATCGGATTTTGATAACTATGAAATATTGTATTTCAAATAATGGTATAAAATAATTTGTAAAAAAAAGTTTGAAATTATCACTTTTCGAGACATATCATTATGGTTTTGTTAAGGAATATTGAAAAACTAAGTTCAATGTGGCCTTAAGAATATTACTTTTTAGTTTTTATAAGTTCCAAAAAAAAAAAAATTATCAAATTTTGTTGATTCTACAGGACATGATCCTTATTCCCGTATCCCGTATCCTATAAAGTGTACTTTTATTTTTTTGTGGACAAAATTACATTTTGGCACTGGGTGTTTTATTGCCTTATTATATTATTATTAGGTATGCTCTATTACATTGTAGAATGTACTCTGTAAAATATTAAATTATTAGCTGTTGTTTAATCCTACACATCAAATTACCAAATACCTACATAATTTATTCTCTATATTTAAATAGGAAGATGATTATTAATATATTATAAAAGAACATCATGTATTTAATTTTACAATTTACCATTGGCCAAAAAGTATTCTTTATGAAGACATTCAATCAATTCATACTGTTCTGTTAAGCAGTGATCATTGGTGATGTTTCGTTCTTCCAAGCACTCCACATTTTTAGCTATACCTTTGGTTTTATATTTATTATTAGTATAAGACATTGCTTCATGTATTTGTTTCTTAGAAAGTCCACAAAATAAATGATTTTCCAAATCATTTTTCAGCAACTGACCATGAAACGTTTGACAAATTGTTATCAAAATAAAACAAAGTTTTTCAAAAAAATTTAAGTAGTACATTGTGTTAAATCTTGTTGTAGACATTTTAAGAGAAAAAAATATGAGAAATTTATCAAAACAATATTAATTGTTTCATAGCGTATTTAGTGTAGATGTATGTGTTATAAATGTTCAACATAGATGATTTAAAATTTATACATTGATGTGTTGAATCCAAGCATACAACTTAACCATGGACCACCTTAACTCAACAGAAGATTATTACTAAGGTTAGGTTATTACTAATTTCCGAATCATTGTTATTCGTTATACGTCATTTAATGTTTTAATTTATCTTCTTATTTTAAATGTATCTACTTAAGTAGGAACTAGGAAATAATGGATATTTAAATAAATAAAAATTAATCAACATTTGCTTGGAAAATAACAACATTTAATAATGATATTATATTTCACAGATGTATTATTTATTCCCAGCAACAAATAATCCAGAAAACAAAAAACCACCTCCGTCGTCCATTGTAACATCAGGATGTGTTCTATTTGGAAGGACTTGATGGTATCTCATGAAATTATCGGTCAGTCGGAGAAACACTACATCTCTTCTCATCTTGAATTCAGCATACATAGTAACTAACACTTCTCTATATGCTGAATAAATGACAAAAGGTCTTGACAAAGATAAATATGGTAAAAGTGTCTTAACAAATTCAGTTGGTTCCTCTCTGCAGACTACAATTAAACCATCAAATTTATTTGATTTTATAAAATTTAAACCATCTGTACTTGTTATTGGCCGATGTTTTTTCTTAATTTGCGTATATGCTTCATCACTTTTTCTTTTTTTCTCATCTGGACAGTTGGGAACATCTTCCTCATCATTTTCTGCTGGAACATTGTCTTCATTTTTTGTATTCAATATTTCATCCAAACTTACAGTTAACATTTGTTTTATTTTAGTTTCAGAAAAATTCATAGCCTTCACTGCTCTTAATGCATTCTGTTCAGATGTCGAAGAGAATATGTGTACAAGGCACCCATTATCGTGCAGTTGGTTAAGAAGTGCAGCTTGTAATAACCCTTGACTTCCATTCTCGTACAACAAATACTTGCCACCAGGATCCAAATTCACACGGCATAATATCTGAGCTAATGTATCAAACCTAATAGGTATAGTTTTAGGAAGTGTTTGTTGTTTGTATAATACATCTGTAATAAGCCGTATTGAAGGTTTAAATATAGTTAAGTAATCACAGTATTTTCTGGCTTTTTTTTTCAGGTATTTTTCTTGAGCATATTCAGTTTTTAGCTGAAATGTTTTGCTGTTTTCTAACAAACGTTCTACAATATTCTGCCCGCTTTCTCCACTTTCTTTCAATGCTATTATTTCATCAGTGCTCAACAACTGAGATGAACTATCATCAGTTATGAGTTTGTTATCGGTGCCAGAACCATTCGTTGACCATTGGTTACGCGCCTGATTATCGTTACATATTACTAGAGTGTAATGTCTTTTTTTCTCTGGCATTGGTTCTAGTTTGAAGGTAGATGAGAATGGTTGTCCAATGGCCGCTTTTAGATCAAAGACATCGCGGCCTAACTTCAATATGGCTTTGTTCGATATTTGATGAATTAAATAAGTTTCGTTTTTGTTAATAATTAAATAATCACCTCGGGTGATAATGTTTTCAAGATTTGTATCCGTCATGATATATTATTTAACATTAACTTTATAATTTCGATCAGTACACACTTTTGTTTTAATTTTAAAATATTTAAAAAAATTAATACATTTTACTTAAAACAATTTCGTTCGAAGTTTAAATTCTTATCATTTAAAATATTATATATCAGTAAATCATAACATACACATGGTCAAAATCACTGAAAAGAACAGTTGTATTTGTTACCATGGTATAAGTATATTATTCTATGTACACTATGTACACCACTAGATACCGCCACCGAACGATTGAAAGACTAATTGTTATCATTTTGGAATTAGGTTTTAGGTTCATAAAAAATCTGTGCCCTTATTCTAAATTTGATCCGTTTTTAGCTATTCGATAATCGATACCATACATTTCTAAAGCGTAGGTAGTAAATAAATTTCCAAATCCTAATCATACAAAAATATTTTCTCCCGTCAACTGAGGATTTAACACAGTTGCGAACGCATATTCGATTTTTTCAGCGGATTGTGAAGCCCAGTAAATAATAATCACCAATCTCGGATAAGAAATGGCGAGTGAGTATCATTCAAATCATAAATGTTAAATTTCTTGATGGTTTACAGAGGTTTAATGTGTTTGTTGTTTTTTAGGAGGTAACGCTAGAGATCTTGCGCGCGAAAAGAATCAGAAGAAACAACAGGAACAAGCTAAAAAAAAAGGAATTTCTGACAAGGGTTCAAATCAGGGATTGACATTGGAACAAAGAAAACAAAGGTAAATAATCATTATTATTTATACTATACTTATTGTAACAGTCAATATAATACTAATATTTTTAAACTTAAGTATAAGTAATTTTGCTCTTCCAATTGAACTATGGTTATTTATAATTTTAGTATAGACAACTTATTACAAATTACGAATGTGTATGCTATGTTGGATTTAGAAATACTCAATTTTATTTACTTGCACAATAGTATATGGTATATTGGAAACATTGGACATAAACCAATTGGTCACCCATCATAGATTCAAAGGATCATAATTAATTTTATACCCACAAATCTTATACTCTCAATCAACAAGTTTATAATTTTAATTGTTGGATTATACTTTACAATTATTATTTGTTTTTAATATGTAAGTACATTGTACACAATTATTTATTTTGTACTGATTAAAGTTGTAATTTTTTATGCTTGAATGATATAACTTTCAATTTTTTAATATTTTCTATCATAGTGGATTTTACATTTTTTTATTAATTACCTTTATCCTTTTATACTGTTAATACCCCTATGTATGCCCATTCCCAGAATAAATTTCAGAGATTTTTCATTCATACATATTATCAAATATTGAACCAATCCTTGTATGATTAGTGATGTTGAAGGAAGTGAGATATTCTAAATTGTTTCTCTGGTCAATGGGTCCCCATGGTCCTTTGTGAAATATTTATTAATTTAATTAATATGACATAGAATAATATGATTATATTTATACATTAAATTCTCTCCAAATTAAAAAAAAAAAAGTAAAACTTGTAATTGGCTTCATTAGCTTAAACAAAACTCTAAAATAATATGAAAATAGGTAATGCACCAGTTATATTTTTGTATTAATTTTAGTTATATTTTATATTTAGTAACATATTTATAAATCAAAAAAATCTTATCTAATAATTTAATGAACTACTTACCAGTGTGATTTTGTATACATAGTGTACATTATTGAATATACTAATTAAATTATTTTATTTTCAGAGATGCCGATAGAATGAGAGAAAAACAGCAAAAAAAACAAGAAGATAAATGAATTGTTTAATGGATATTTGTGTCACAGGTGTACATTTTAATGCTAAGCTCAAAATAAATTCAATTTTATATTATGTAACATTATAACCATCTATAAATGTATAGACTGCTTTTAGTCTTAACTATCTTTGTCCTTACTAAGTATAAATATGATATTCTTTTATAAATCACTTTGATTCTATTTAAGTATCTTCATTGCGTTATATGATTAAGCATTATCTTACACAACAATTAAATAATAATTTTTAATAATGACTGTTGAAGCATGAAATAAACTTTAGACCTTAAATTTGAATTTATTAAGGTATACCATTTATTTATAGATTAAACATTTTTACCTATACTACCAAGCTTAAAATCTAAATTATTGACAAACAAATTTGATTGCATTTATTGTTGCAATAAATAAAAAAAAATTAAAAAATAAAGAGAAGAATATTTTAGAAACAATAAATAATGTAATTAACTTACTGTTAAGTTGTGAATTAGCCTGGGACTTACATTTACATAGCTCTATAACTATAACACACACAATTTACATGGTGATAGTTTCCCAGCATTCTGATTATCATTAATTCCTTTGCTTATAAATAATAAATGTTTAATTATTATTAACAATTTAATATAAGGCCATACTTTCAAATAATTATTATGCCGTTTAAGGAATGTCCTGTGGACTGTGGTAATACAAATGTCTTTTTAACTAATGTGATTATTAACCACTCTTTTTACTGTAAATTATTAAGCTGATGATTTTTTGTAATAATTTTGATTCTTCTTGATCAAAATTAAAATGTTTTTAAAGTCTTAGATATTATTAACAAATATATTAAAACAATGGACATTTTATTTTATTAACATTCATCGCTTATAAATATATTTATTTATATTTTTATGTTATAGCTGTTCATTGTTCATTATAATAGTTAATACAAATGTTGTAATACTACTCCATATAAGTACCTATCCATTTTATTTATTATATGAGTATGGGATTACTTTTTACTTATACATTATAACTTATAAGTTATTAGTTATAACTGTGCAAGACTCGCACACATCTTTAGATCATCCTCAGAGAAATTATTTGAATTTCGTAAAAAAATTTAAAGTTATTTTCATAAAAACTTTCCACTGAATTAAAAAGCTTGGAAACGTTATGCAAGGTTCCTTATAAATTGCATTAATTTAAGTTAAAAAATATTAAAGATGTGAAGGCACAATTATTTGTACATGCATTTCATGTTTGAATTTTAACAAAATTCATAGAAATCTCGAAATGCATAAAAGATTTTCTTTCTATTACCTAACATCAGACATTATAATAGAAGATTCCCCACAAACGTACTGGAAAAAATAAAAATAAAATTTTTAATTAATTGTTAAGCGTTTTGGTTTGTTCTCAAATACTCCACTGCATTCTCTCTTTGAACGGATATTACTTGTAATTAACTAAAATGTACGAGTAATTAAGGACAGTGTCAAACAATGCAATAACCAGATATGTACCTATATTGCCTATACTACACGCCGGTCATTACTTCATGTTTGCGCGAAGTATATTATTAATATTTTATATGCACATAACACATCATTTTTAACAGTATTTATATGAAATTTTAGCCTATAATTTAGATAAAAGACATTATAGCTTAAAATAGTATTATATTGTATTTTATTATATTATTGATTTAAATTTAAATTAGTAGAAATTGGTTGTTATCAATACTCACTGCAGTTGGATCCAGTAGAATATTGAAATGTTCACCAAATTTAGATAACATTTTCAAAATATGTAAATTTATATTTTTTGATCTATTTATAGACATTTGATATTTTTATTTATTTTAGTTTTTGGCGGACTGAGTTTTCCGAAATTGTAGATAACTTTTAACTAACAACGTTATCCTTCGTTTAAATAATCGTTTGGAACTTTTTATTTTTGGCTCTCCAGAGTACCAACTAGATTCAACTTCCTTTCAGAATAGATATCGAAGTAAAAAATTGAAACAGTTTGACGTCCCCAAAAGATAATTATACAGATAGTAAAATCAATACATCCATAATCGCTCCGCTTAGAATCTAAAATAATTTCATATTTATTTTTTTATTTATTGATTGATGATGCTTTTTTTGAAAATACATAATAGGTTAAAAGTTGACACCCTATAAATGTTATGGCTAGGCTATAAACCTACAAATAAAGTACTGATATGTTTATTTATCTACAAAGCCATCAAGTTAATTTTTTATCCAGTGGTCGTGTAGTATATCTTGGACGTCAGGTGCGCCCTCATAATTGAGAACTAATATATGAACACCATAGTGAGTTCTCAGATAATACATTTTCCTTAAACCATATTACCATAATAATACACTTTGAGCTTATGATGTAAAAATTGTTTTTCTACAATAATAAAATACTTAAATTTAACTAGGTTAACACACTAGAATCCAAAATTCATATGAGTTGTATTTTTATTTTCGATGAAAATATTATCGGATGACGGTAGTTTGCAAGAGCCTGTTTTAAGTTTTAACATATTTAATAATGGCTTATCGATAGTTTAGTGATTTACGAATTCATGAATGTAACAAAATGCTAATATTTTATTTATATGTGTACGTACTATACATACATAAACTTCTCAGTTAAAAATATCATGTACTTTAAATTTTACAATAAAGTAATATTTTTTATTTTAAGTTGACATAAAGTAATAGAGAGAGATAGTGAAGTAAACGGAAAATCCAAATATGTTCAAGAAATTTAAATACTAGTCGAATCTATAATAAATTGTATTTTCAATGAATATCTCAGGGCCGTATTACCGCTTAGGCTGTGTAGGCTAAAGCCTAGGGCGGCAAAGTTTTTTTGGTGTGACCCAAAAACTACGGTGAGATATTAGTAAAATATCAATACCTATGTTAATTAGAAGGTAAATTTATTTCAGCCTATGGGCGGCAAAAACCTTAATCCGGCTGTGGAATATCTAGTGACTAGTTGATTTTTCTACATAGGCTATATTTCATAATAGCCTATGCCCTAGGCTTATAAAATTATTTTAATGATTAAAATATTTTATAAGAATGTAGTGAACAGCAGGTAATAGAAAGACGATAACATTTTTGGCGATAAAATTATATAAGTAAACGCTCTACATTTGAGTAAATACTTAACTATTATAGGTACCTATAGTAAATACGATCTTGTTTAATCTACACGTAGCAAAAATATTATCTTATCGTGTAGTAGTATATACATTGTGCATAACATAGATAGTTGCAAGAAAATACGTTTAAAAAGTACAAAAATAGTGAATTACAAATTACTATTCATTAGTTTATGTATTACCTATTAAAAAAAAAACAGATTTTATGGAATATCCTTATTCCTTATGTACCTAATAAATTTCGAATACTCGAATACACTTCATAAATTATTTTGAGAGATTAAAAGGAAATTTTGGAAGGTTTCTAATAGACTAGTTAAATCATTTCATACCTTTTCTTGGGTAGGTAATAAAAAAGGGTGATTTATATATTTTTTGTATGTGAATTTCACTGTTCCGATTGATTTTACAAGAATGTGTGCTTTTTTTATGTCTGTGTACACGATATTTAGTCAAAATAATGCTTCAATTTTCAACTTAAATATCTTTTCTGGTGGGATAGTGAATCTAGTTGGTACTTTTGACTTTTGACTTTTGAGAGGTCAGTATACAGTTTGAAAATTATCTGTACATCCGTTGCGGTTCAGAAAATTGTTATACTTATTATTTAGTGGAAAAGACAAGTATTTATGATTATTTATTGCTATATTACAATTAAAAAAACTTTATACAAATTCAATTTGTTTAATGTGCATACATATATAAAATCCTCAGTACTTTTTAAATAATTGGGATAGGTTTACAAGCGGAAAACCGGTAATAGTTAAGCAAAACGTGCAGTTTTCAACTTGTTTCGTACAAATAAATTTTGTCTCTTTGGAGTATCAATGAAATAATGAATAACCGTAGTAATTATTTGAAACTTTCACTTTTTTTTCGATTTATTATGATTTAAATTTTTTTAAAAGTCAAATATCTTGAAAATGTAAAACAATCTTTCTCATAAGTTGCTCATACAAAAATTAAAAAACATCATTGTACAGTTGAGATTTATTTTTGATTAGCGTTGAAGTTCAAATTATGAAAAACCATGACCTAGTTTACACATCAAATGTTTAACATACATTTGGAAAACGGATCTCAAATAGTCACATTTATGACTCGAACAATGTCCCGAAATATGTATACATTGCATTGTTTATAAGTTCCTTAGTAGTTAGTACTAACATTCAGTATGTAGGATCACCAGGCGTGCCTCCTTTTTCGGTAAGACAGTGTTGTTTCAGCACTTGTTTAATCTCATAAAGATGCCATTAGGGGGTGGGTGGGATATTGTAAAAATAATTATTTCCTGAATTATTTATCTAATTCTTTGTTATTGCGATTTTCGACTTATATGTATTCCTATTCTACTCGTTTCAAGGTGGCTGTCGACTGTCGTAACTCGTAGAATGCAGATAGATATTTGTTAGGATATTACATCCATATGTGTTGACGTATTGTCTCCGCCTTAATTGTACAATATGGACAATTTGTGTATAGCAGAATAAATTTCGAGTTGTTATAGCTTTAAATGCTTTAACATTATAATGAATTGAATTATTATCAATCGTAAAGCCGTCGAGGTAAGACCACTGTGTTTGAGTTTGTACTTTAGTATTTTACGATATTCCAAAATTTAAAGTTATCATCACTTATCAGAGTTACTATCATTTTTTAGTTACAATATTTGGTGCAGCCCCAGTCCACATTTTACATGCATGTTAAAAAATAATAGCCCTCCTTTGAAATGTTAATGAATTTTTGTCTTATGTACACGAACACGATTGTAAAATATTTAAATTTTAATTGATGCTTTATTTCATTACCCAATGCAGTAGGTATAAAGATTATAAGTAATAAGTACTATATTATGTCAATATAGGCTAAAGCCAGCTATATTTACATCCATACATACCTACATGCTACAACCACCAAGTTTAATGCAATATAATAGAATATTTTACAAGTTATAACTATAACGTACACCAGTAACATGGTGTCATAATAATATTATCTTTCTAATATCAAAACAATAATGACGAAAAACAGTAATACGTAGATAGAAATTGTGACCCTTCCCCTCTGAACGAGTAACATCACGGACGGACGTTGATACCACTACTATTATTTATATACATCAACATAAACTATAACGCATTAATAATGTTATAATATACATATAATACATAATTTCTTTGTACAGGGTACGCGTTATTAAGTAGATAAGCAAGGTATTGCTATGATATTTTATCTTTATAATTATATTGTTTGTCCTTTTCGGTCTACATATTTACATGCCACGGGCGAATATATAGGTAGGTATGCAACACTGTGCATAGTTATTAGTTGACAATCGATGTATTATATACATATTAATGTAAAACATTTAGTAGGTACACAAAGACACGTTATGTAAATGAAAATGTACACACGCTCAGCCTGAATAGGTATTGTAAAATATAATGTAACAATTAAAAAAAGTCACAAAAAAAGTAATTCTTTCTCTAAAGTTCAAACTTTCAAAGTATAGCTAAGTAATATTCGTATCACTTTATTGCGTCGATGATTAGCAGGAGCAGTTACATCATGTAGCCTACATGGTGTTCATCGATTGTTTTAATTTTCCCATTCACATATATTGACGATGTATTATAGTGATGTTAGTTTTAGTTCCTGCAAATGTACGAACACGCGTATTGGACCGGAGGAGGAAAGATCGTATTATATGTGTTTTTCAATATTTTCCTTTGGGGCAAATATATAATACAATTAAATTGATTGACGTGTTTTACCATTTCGAACGGTAGGTAGTACCTATATTATGCGATATAGGAAAAATTCGTCAAATATTACGTTTTTTTGGACAAAAGATATAACTATAATAACATTAAGTCTCTCGCAAATCACAAATCGCAATTGGTATATTAGGTCAGAAATCAAAATGTCAACCGATGAACCGAACACTGTGGAAACCGAGCAAACGCACATGAAGTATAAAATAATATACTGAAAAACAACGACGATGGTGTATTAGAGTTGTGGAACATACTCTACGATCTGTCGGGGAATTAAACCGGTTGAAGTCGATTATTGTACACAGTAATTACATGCGTACGGTGTCCAAAGGTTATCGCGTGCGTTCGTTACTTACAAAGTTACAACTATAATATTATGTGTTGTACGTGTACCTATATACTTATCATTGATCCGAACGAAAAACCTCTGATCATATCATTAGGGCATTGAATATATTATATATATATATATATTACATAAATAGGTATATACTATATACTATATGAATATAATCTTATTGTGTATGTATAACATTGACAACAAGGCTTCCCTCTTTAGTCTTTTGTTGGACTGTAAACGCACGTACCGTTTTATCGTAAATCAAAGTCCTCTAAAACGTTTGTTTTTACGTTTATTCGTAGAACGTACTAGTATTTTAGTCCTCAGTCGCAACTCGTCGCTGTAGGTCGCGACGCACACGCTATAGCTGCTGCAGCCTGCAGTACAGTAAACGGTCATACGGACTGTTAAACCCAAACTTTCAACATGTTCAAATCAATAATATTTGCCCTCGTGGGCTTATTGATCTTCAGTTTTGGATGCTGCGATGATATCCGCGTCGATCTGGATCCGTTGTCGGACGAGTTCATCGATCACATAAATTCGATACAATATTATTGGAGCGTACGTGTTTAGTGCAACCAGCGTCGTGTTTATTATAATATATATAATATTGATGTCGTTATATATTTCAGGCCGGCCGCAATTTTCACAAGAACACACCGATGTCTTATTTAAAAGGATTGATGGGTGTGCACGAGAGCAACGCTCACTACCCGAAATTGGAACAACTGGTGTCATACACCGACACACCGACCGATCTGCCGGAAAATTTCGACGCCAGGGAACATTGGCCGAATTGTCCAACTATTAGAGAAGTCAGGGATCAAGGATCATGCGGGTCTTGTTGGGTAAATCGATTTCCATTACTTTTATCGGTTAAAATGTGCGTCCCACGACAATTTTATCTTTATCATCAATATTTATAGGCTTTTGGAGCTGTAGAAGCTATGTCAGACCGTGTCTGCATTCACTCTAAAGGCGCTAAAAATTTCCATTTTTCGGCTGAGAATTTGGTTTCCTGTTGCTGGACATGCGGTTTTGGATGCAATGGAGGCTTCCCAGGAGCAGCATGGCATTATTGGAAAACTAAAGGCATCGTTAGCGGAGGTCCATATGGTTCTAAAATGGTAATATTATTAATTCTTTGACTTTAAATTAATACCAATTATAACAACTCTTATCCATTTGTCGACATTATTTTATATCATGTAGATAGGTGGCTATGACTGATCTGCTAATAGTTGAATAATTTATATACCTACAATCTACATATTATATAATATACAATTTCTTTTTATGCAGGTTTTTAAATATAGGTACGAATAATTTACTATTTAGAAGAGGACGAGGTAGTTTGAAAGTATTTATATTAAGTTCTTCAGTATTTTCATACAGTTATGCCTATGATAAGATAATGGATTCTACCTTATCAAAAGGGATTTCCGATCAATGAAAATATACCATTAAACATTTTACAACCCATGCTAGAAACTTGAAAGGGAACCTTCAAGAGCATAATGATATAATAAATATTAATTATAATTAAGAATTATATCATAAGTATATTCTTCTCTCTTCCACAAAAACCACGACTCACTGCATTACTGCGTTCATGCGTGCATGGCCTATCTCAATAGTATTACCCCGTGCCTATTTTCTACTACTTATGACTATCATGGTCAGTGGCGGTCCTGTGATTTTGTTTTTTTTTAGGGGGGGGGGACATGTTTTTATTATGTTAATTTATTGCTCAAAAGTTTATATCACACCACATGCCAATAAATCTGATTGACCATAGGGCCCATCTGCTGGCCCCTTAAATCCGCTACTGGCTATAGTCTATCAAAGTTTATAGATAATATTATTATCTATAAACCTTGATGATCTATGAGTCTTTAAGTGGTTCAAGCAGCAAGCATTATAAATATATAAATATTAATATATGGAATGTGGCTCCTCTATACCAATTATGCTGAGATTTCTATTCTATATATTATATAATATTTGTTCTCTTTCTCAGACCCGAGCTCAACGTACGTCTATCGCATTCACGTAACATCGTTTTTTTTTTGTGATTTTTGAGTAGGTACTTAAGTACTTACCTAATTTAGAATTACAAAAATGATAGAGCATTATATTTTTGAGTATGTATGACATAACGATTTTAAATTTTGTTAAAACCAATTATCATAGGTAGTTGGTTAATTGATTAAAAATTAAAATTATGCATGATTGCGGCCAGAAAACGTTCAACCAACCACCCTTGTAGGAATAAGAGCTTTGCTTCAAAAATTATATTCTAAAATCACCTCATTTTCTATACTTATTTGTACCTATGTATTTTTTTATATAAATGCTTTACTGTGATATATACCTAATAACAGAAAATACTGATTTAATTGTTAATAAGTTAAATGGATATTTTTAAAATGTATTTTAGGCTTAGTATAGTACTTTATCCAATTTTAAATATTTATTTATTATATAATACATTTCTGGTTTAGGGATGTATTCCCTATGAAATTGCTCCATGTGAACATCATGTGAATGGTACTCGAGGACCATGTAAAGAGGGTGGTAAAACTCCTGCTTGTGTTAAAAAATGTGAAGATGGATACAAGGTGCCTTATGCACAAGATTTGCACCGTGGTAAATAATCTATAAATCCAATCAAATAAAAAACATTAATGTTTTTTTTAAAGCGTATTTTTGTTAGTTATTATTTACAAAAATGTTTGAATATTAGGTAAATCTGCATACTCGCTTGGAAATGATGTTGACCAAATCCGGCAAGAAATTTATACCAATGGTCCAGTTGAAGGGGCATTTACTGTATATGAAGATTTTATAGCTTACAGAGCTGGTTAGTATTAATATTTAACTATCAATAATTTAAGTTTTAACTTACTATTAGTATATTTTTTTCCATTTGCAGGAGTATATAAACATGTTGCTGGTAAAGCTCTTGGAGGCCATGCAATTAGAATTCTTGGATGGGGTGTTCAGAATGGTGAAATACCATATTGGTTAGTAGCTAATTCTTGGAACAGTGATTGGGGTAGCGATGGCTTTTTCAAAATATTAAGAGGAAGTGACGAGTGTGGCATTGAAGGACAAATTAATGCTGGTTTACCAGCTTAACTTTCACTCGTTTCAGAGTAAACATTTATAAATCCCAACTTTTATATTTAATTCAAAAATGTACTACGAGTAAAAACAAATTATTATTATTTTTTTTTTTTAAATTTCCTTAGAGCTTATTAACTATTATTAACTAAGTTGATTTTGAATAGATACAATAAATTATCAAGTAAAATAAAAGTATATTATCATCATTTATTTTTGTATACCTAATAGATTTTTATTTTGTATGTATTGATGACATTTTTTAATTCTCTAAATTACATGTTTGACTTATTATCATTAATATTTAATAACAATAACTTAAACTATTTTATTTTATAGCTTATTTTATGTGAATAAATAAGTGAGAATAACCCAACTTGCCAAACCTAACACTAATCCTAACCTGCTTTCCTCCAAACATGCACATTTTTCGGATTTCCATATACTTAATTACTACTATAGGTATCACTTTTATTAATAAGTCATAGTTATTTTTTTAAATATCTCATTATATTTTTTAATACCTATAAATCAGCAAATAGGAAACACAATCATTAAAAAACTACTAATCACATTAAATAACATACTCAATAAGTAACAAACTATCATGTATCCAGATAGGCGGACATAACAGTAATTTTATTACAAAGACTGGTTCAATGAATATTATATGTATATTTTTTTTAATTAGTGTGTTAGGCAGTTGAATTAAATTAGTATTTACTTTGCGCAGGAAAGTCATAATAGATATCTAATATTTTACAAATGAAATAGTAAAACTATTAAATACTATAATAAGTTACATAAATTAAATTGTTCATTTTCAAGTATAATGTTTTTGTTACAAATGTAATAATTTAACAATTTATTTATTTTTATTTTTGTAAGCTTATAGAACATTAAAATTTCATTTCTAATATTAAACTAAATAAAAGTTTGATTAAACAGGTAGATGATTACTAATTTGGTTTAGAATATTAGTTTTGATTTCTTTAACAATATGTTTGTTCTGACGATCTTTAATTGATAATTCTTCAATTAAACAAAGTTGTTTCTAAAAATAAGATAAATAAACTATTACATAAATCCTTATAAAAAAGGGAACAAGAATATTTACTTGTACATCTGCAAGAACTGACAATTTTATGATGGCTGGTTGATCATTTGAAAGTTCACTAAAGATTCCATTACGAACTGCAATCAAAGCATCTTGATCTAGACATTCTAGTATGATGGTTTTTGTAATTTTGTCATCCAAAACCATTGTGACTATTTTTCCAAAATAATTCAAATATAACGTTTTTGGCATATTATCTAGAATAAAAAAATGATCATTCAAAATTATTTTAAGCTTGGCACTTTACATTTACTTTGGTAAGTAATCATATACAATGGAGAAAGCTATAGCAAAAATTACAAGCACAATTCCTGCATAAGAATAACAATTGTTTAAATTACTAATGTGACACAATACTGATTATGCAATGTGCTCTATATTTAATTTTACAAACGGATACATACATGTATAGTACACATGCTATTATGCTTTATACTTCCTTAGTAAGTGGTACATTAGTAAGAAGTCCTAATACTGTTCAAAATACTTAATTATCAACTATTAGCAGTATTCGGAAAAAACATTAGTTATTCATATTTAATAAACAATACATGAACACCACTAGTATTTTTCAAATAGAAGGTGAACGTAAATTACATTTATATTTTTAATAAATATTATATGCATAAATATTGATTAATAATGAATATTATCATATTAAACAATAACATTTTTCAATTATAATATTCCTGTTATATTTATTTTATTACAAATTATAAAAATAAATTAAATGAAATCCCAGTGGGCACGACTCGACATAAAATAATAACAATTAGTAATTACAATAATACCTATTGTAGTTTCTACAATTTTGTATTAGTATTTAAATTTTAAGCAATTTTAAAAATAAAATTTTAATTTAAATGCAATAAAACCTCTAACTAACTGGAAGAAACACTAATTTATTTAACTTAGTTATTTATTAACCACTTACCAATTATATTTTTATAAAATGATTTTGATGTTCTATGTTTATTTTTGTTTGTAATAACAGTTAGGCAATCAATTAATGATATGTTTTCTGGAAATTTAAAAACGTTTTTATGTCTATCTTCCAAAGGATTCATCACCAGGATCTTTTCTCGTTTTTCAGCTTTGACAAAATATAATGAATTCAATTTTATTGGATTTAACGGAATAATTAAACAACGATTAGTTGAATCATTTTGTACTTGACACACCAATTCGCAGTGTACTAAACCAGACGTACAATTTTCAGCAACAGTAGCCAATAAACGGTGTTTCACCATTAATGGGTGATTATTGTTGAAGATATCAACATCAAAAAAATGTACGCGACAATTTGACGATAAATTGTTATTGTCAGTAATACGAACCAAGAGTTGCCAAATTGAAGATGGAAATGATAACCATGAACAATCAGTGGAAAGCTTGATTGCAAAAATATATTCATCTTGGCAAGCTCCTAATTTGACAGCTTTAGCACCTACATTTAAAAATTGTTAGTATTTTATTATTATCTGTTTATAAAATTAAATACACAATACAACCTGAATAGATTAAAATGTTTAATGAACACAATTGAGCAACTAAATCTTTGCGAGCAACAATAGACACTGCATTTATGTATTTATTCAAATTTTCATGTTGCTCTTCTAAAGACTCTATACTTTTACAAAGATTTTTTATGTTTTCTAAAATTGATTTTTCATTAAATTTAAACTTTAGTTCTTCTTCTTGAGTCACCACTTCATATTTAGCTGATAATTTATACACTTTATTTAATTGGGTCATTGCAATAATCATATTGGACTGAAATCTGCATAATGAGATAACTCCTAAAATATAAAGATTTAAATGTAATAAGATACTATAAATACACATTTTAAAGATTAAAATTGTACCTTTCAACTGAGTGACTACTTGTTTGACTATTTTAGAAAGTGGTATATCCAATGTAATTAAAAATAAATGGACACCATCACTTAAAATCACTGTATGGTCAACAATAAATGTAGCAACCGTTTTTGTAACTGCTAGGTAAATGTATGATGGATGAATATTTTCAACACAGTGCATAATTATAAGAATTCCATTAGATGACATTAACAGCATATTTTTTGGTTCTATAAATCAACAAAATTATAATAATATAAAAAGGTAAATAAAGGCAATCTCAGAATTATTACCAAAATCACAAAATTGAATATGTATAATTTTTTGTGGACTATTTAAAAATAATGAAACATTTTTACTCGTCACATTAGATGTTGTACAATATACTTTTGACTCTTCTGTTGCTATTATAAAGATATCTAGACTGTCAATTACACTTAATCCGAAAAGTTGTACAGCTCGTTGGCTACTGAACCAATCCCTCCAAATACAAGATACAAACGAAGTAACTACAAATGGAAACTAATTGTACATAAAATTACTATAATTGGTATTTGAATTCCTTTTTTCTATTTTGTTACCGGTTTCTGAGATCTAATTTGTTTGTTACAGGTATTGCATATAATTGGTTCATTATTATCATTAATAGATATTTTTAACATCTGTATTATTATAAATTCTTCCAGTGCTGTTATTGCAGCAATTCCATCTGAATAGCAAGTTGCTCCAAGTATTTCACATGGACACTTTTGAGAGTAGCAGAGTTTCCACTCATAACTGTAGAACAATGGCTGTTGAGGAACTTGAGCAGACATGGAACAATCAAATAAGTCTGGAGAATCTCTAAGACATTAAAATAAAATACATTTAGGTACGTTAAAGAATTTACAGTGATTACTGAATATATTACCGTTGAATTTGTTTTAGATAGTATATAGATCCGATTTTATCAATACAATACATTTTTGAATTAAAGGTTAGTATTGATATTATTGGATTACTTATTGGTACAATCTAGTAAAAAATCAAGATACACACACAACTATATTATTTTTTTTTTAATTTAATGAAATATCAGCGTATGTATTAACATTTTTATATTTTATCATGATTATGTTTGGTTTTTATTACAAATAATAAATAATGTTAAATATATACAATATACATGCATAAAATATTATAATATGTACTATAAAGTATAAAATACCTACATTATATTATAAGCAATTAGTATATACCACTTGTTTAATTATGACTGTTATTTATAGATCATATTATTTAATCTGTGATTTTTTATTCTATTCATATATTAGGTATTATATTTTAAATTTTAATGGAACATACAAATTTTAATTTACCTAATTATTTGAATATAAATAGGTAGCCAATGCTGAATAATATAATATATTAATATATAGAAATAATTTACAAATAGTTGAATAAATCTTTAAAAATCCTTTTAATACTGTAATATCACACTTGGTGACAACTAAAATTTGCAGGTTTACTACCTAGGTCAGGGGTCGGCAACCTTTTTTGACGGAAGAGCCAAAAGTTACAAAATACAAAATTTTCCAGATTTTAATGAGCCACTAAAACTTTTCGTAATTTTTTTAATATAATTTTTTTTTTAAATTCTAATAGACATAATAAAAGTAAAATTAATTATAATAATATAATAAATTTATAATAAAAAAAAACAGTTTTTAATAATAGGGAAATACATCAATGGGAGCATTGGCTTTGCATGTCTTTTGAAAGTTCTTTTAAATTTGGCTCATAACTTGTTGTTTTGAGTTTCAAGCACGACTCTAGATTTTTATTTGTTAGTTGGCTTCTTACTTTATTTTTTATTGTATTCATGCAAGAGAACGCTTGCTCACACGAATATGTTGATCCAAAAATTGCCAGCACTCCAAATGCCAACTTTTTCACCTCGCTTCATATTTCCAAAAGCAACAAAAATAATACACTTTTTTATATCATAAAATATTGTTTTTGAACATAAAATATTAATTTTTGTGTATGTAGCTGGGGAGCCGCAACTTTAGACCGAAAGAGCCACATGTGGCTCGCGAGCCGCAGGTTGCCGACCCCTGACCTAGGTATATAAGGTAAGTAGCCAAGTAGGTGCCCAATATTTACTAATTTAAAACTATTTTATGTTTCTCAAAATTTAATGAAACATATTCACAATTAATAATTAATAACTTACCATAGGTTCAATGGGATTCCAAAGACTAGCTTCAGATAAATTGTCTAATGAATATGAAACCATGACACAATTGTCCCATGAAACAAACAATTCCTTTTCATTATCCTTATGAAAGTGTGTATGTTTTGAATTAGTGTGTAAATACTCAGATTTTAGTAGTAGTTGTTCAAAATTCATGGAGAGTTCCATTGTGTACCTATGATTACTGAACTATGACAGTAGTGACAGTACGTCATAGAACATACTTAATTTCGTATAAAAAGATTTTGACAGGTTTTAATCCTTCGAGGATACAGAATATTATCATAAATACTTCAATGCATCAGGTACCAATGATTAGACCGAATGATAAACAAAAATTGGCGGTAAAATATTTTTTACATGAAAAACGAAAACTTATTGTGAATAATTTGTGATCAACGGCCCGCGGTTATTAGAAAAAATAGAAACAGCTTCCACGACGATCCTCTTACATTTTAGATTTTTAGCTGGGTATCAACTATGAGCTATCATGGTCCGGAAAACTTGCGAAGTTGGGTGGAAAATTTTACAACCGGTGGAAATGGCAGAACCCATAACAAATATCTGGTTGAATGTAGCTTTAGATTATTTTAAAAAGACGCAGTTCTCGAATACTGCCGATGCCGTAACTTCATTTATATAGGTACATTTTGGTTAAAGAAGCGAGCTTACAAAGATGTGTGTGCGTGTTTTTTTTTGTCTGTCAATTACTCTGCATCACTCATAATCTTCGAGGCAGTAAAAATTCTTTGATTTTTTACTTTAGTACTTTTATGAAAGAAAGGTGAATTCAGTTTTTTTTGTGTAACTCAATATCTAATAAGAATAACCGTAGATACTTTATTTTTTTTCAAAATTGTAAATATATACCTACATAATACATATGACCATTTCTATAGGTACATAATAATATTTTCAAAATATTTAGACTCTTTTCAGAGCTATTAATTAAATATTTTTTTTACACGTAACAACTATCATTTCATCTTGTTTGTACATGAAGGTAAAGTAAAAAGTTCACTTTAAATGTGCCGTAATTTGTTATACAACGACAGATAAGGTATGCGGTTTTTGTCTATCGACCTTTTTAGGGTCAAAATCAAAATTGTGTGGTTATTGGATGCAACCAAGAAAAATCTTGGGTTAGTGTAGGTAATTGGGGCACGTTCGTTTAAAATTAAAAAAACGAATACGTCTACGCCTCTACGGTACATAGAGACGCCACGGCGGAGTGCTCATATCAAATAGGCTTTATGAACATTACTAAACGCTGCGTTATACGATCCGAGGATAGGGTCTGAGTACCAGGGTCGCATAGACAGTTGCTACATTTGCTATAGTTTCGGTGCAGCGGCGGCAGTTGTAGCGATAATAGTAGCTACAGTACGTTCAACGGCCGGCACGACACAGCATACGTTCCTGTTACATTCTGGTAGTCGTTGCCTTCACCTATCACAATGTTGAGACCGCTCGCCGCTAGGTACCCACTGCGATTCTACCACCAACAAAATACATAATATAATCAATGATCACATGATAAATTGATAAGTCATTATTATTTTAGTTTTCACTAAAATGGCTTGAGACCAAAATTTATTGGGTCGTAAATTCGTAATAAATTGTATCAACTGTTGAAATACATACTTGAAAATAATAGTTAAGAGGACGTGTAACGGAAAAAATCACTTGAAAAATGTCTTTAAAAACATATTTGCGCGTTCCAATAATATGGATTACCGAGTGGTTTAATTGTAAAAACACCTATGAACAAAATTGTAGAGGAGAGTTATATCTGGTTCCGTAAGAGACCTGGTTTTTGAAATTTTCATTTTTAAGTCCTAATAAAATAACTTTTGAAAAATTTAAAAAAGTGTATTAATAATCATGATATAACTCATGATGTTTTAATGATATCAAAAATCAGGCTGCTTAGTGAACCAGATAAAATTCTCCTCTACAATTTTGTTCATAGGCGTTTCTACAATTAAACCACTCGGCAATCCATATTATTGGAACGCGCAAACCACAGAATAGATGTTTCATCTATTCTGTGGTACTATCATATAGATTCTAAGCTATAGAAATCTGTGATGCCATTATAATTTTGATCAACCCATGACTAAGGAAATTCTATTTGAAGTAATTCAGTCATTGGAAAGCATTGAATATAAGGTTTAATAAATATTATTTTATACTTTTTTCTGAGACTAAAATATTTGTAAACCTAGGTTGTTGCAATGGTAAGTGATATGGGACCAACAAATCGAACACTTTGGAACACTTTAAACATAAACACTGAAAGTACATCATTTAAAAACCCATTTAATGATAAAAATGTTTATGTTTTTGCGGATGTTCCACACTTAATAAAACTGGCAAGAAATCACTTATTAGATCATGGGTTTGTCTATGATAATAAGTATATAGGAAAAGAAACTCTGGTCAAGTTCTTATCCGTTCATTGTACTGAAATTAATTTGGCCTACAAAATCAATCAGTCACATTTGGATGTGACTGGAGCTCAACGACAAAATGTAAGACTGGCAGCCCAGGTTTTCTCTGATCGGTTGTCTAAAGCTATAGAATTTTGTGGAAAGGCTAAAATGTTAGACCATATTTCGAATTGGCAAGAGGTAACAATTATTTATTCCTTGTACCTTGTAGATTTATTAAATGTAGTTAGCACTGATGTATTGATGTTTCTACTTTTTAGATGAGCAACGTATTAAGTTTATTCAATGATTGGTTTGATTTGTTGAATACAAGAATGGCAAAAGATGGATTTACTAACAGCTATGGCTTAGACATTGAAAATCAAAATATTTTGTTAAATAAAATGACTCAATATATAAAAGATATGAGAGTCCATGGATCAAAATCTCTTATGCCTTTCCAAAAAGGTATTATTATTACCAATAAATCTTTTCAAAATCTATTCAATGATTTACAAAGTGAATATGACATAAAGTATATCATTTCTCGACGGCTCAACCAAGATGGTGTCGAAGCATATTTTAGTTATATGCGAGGTATGGGTGGTTCAAATGATCATCCTACACCATTGGATTTTAAATATCGGTAGTACCTATAATTAAATAAAATTGAACAAAATAACTAATTAATTAATTACACATACAACTATGTATCACTTGCAGATTACGTTGGTACGTTTTGGGAAAGTATTCAAATATACTTTTTACAGTTCACCGAAATACTGAGGATACCGATGAAGAATGTTTAGTTGACTCATCAATTTTGACTGCTGAAATATTACATGACTCAAACGTTGTTGAATGCACTTCTAATACATTGTCTTTTGTTGAAACCATTACAATTGAGAATGAATTAGATGTTCCTCAATCGTCTCTCGATTTGCTACATGAGTTTGAACTGGAGGTTAACAAATAAAACAAAAATTCATAAATAATATCCATGTTACCACTTATATCTAATGATACATAAATGTATCAAGTATTTTCTAAAACTTACTTTTTTCAATGATATTTTTTGTTTATGTTTCAGTTCTCCGGTAATGATGAAAATACATCTTTAGCTGCTACTGCACAAGACGTGATTGGTAGAAATGGATTGCAGTTTTTAGCTGGATATGTAGCCCATAGATTTAGATTAGAATATCCTGAATTGGGGTCAACTAAAAACGTTGATGGACCTAGCTGGATATCTACTTTAAATAAAGGGAATTTATTGCACCCCTCAAATAATCTTTTAGAAGCAATATGTTATACCGAAGAAGTCTTCAATCAGTTCCATGGTTCTGGTTTGAAAAAAAGCCCATTTATAATACAGAATGTATTAAATATAGTTAAAAAACAGTATAGTTGTATACCTGATACAGTGCTAAGTTGCTTCATAAGAACCAGAACATTTATCCGCTTGAAGCACTTGAACAAAATTATTATGAATGAAAAAAAATCTGTTAAGGATAAGAAATTAAAAAAATTTGTTAAATAAGTAATTTACTAGGTAGGTAAGTATAATATAATTACCATTATATTCCATACATTATTAATTATTGTGCTATGTTTATCTTATGTATTACAAATATTTTTTAAAACATTTGTTCACACTTCACAGTAAAAAATACTAAATAAGTTTGTTCTAAATGTATATCTAGTTGTTTAGTATAAATGAACTTTTAACGAAAACACAAATAACTTAAGAGTTAACACTTTAAAGTTCATAACGAATAACTATATAAAGTATAAATGATTAAATACTAAATGCTAGTAGAGTTTCGGAGTCCGGAAAATACACAATTTAAAATTTAAATAATACATTCTATAGTTATATTCATGAACAGAATCAACAGATGAAGTTATATCATGGTTATCGGTTATATATTCCTTAGAAAAGAAAACATATTTTATTGTTTCCTCCGATGACCACCAGCAAAGCTGCGCGGCTGATAAGCTGCTGACATACCTTGTTTGTTATATCATGATGCCACTCATTCCCGGCCTGCAGCTACACGCTGAATTATATCTTAGTCCATTGTTTTGTTTAAGGTCTATCGTTTATCTCATATTATATTCTCATGACTTTAACTTTTAAAATTTAAATAAAAATAGCCTTACAGGTTTTAATTTCTCTTCTAATCATTCAATCATCCATCATTGAGATATCGGATGTTGATTTGTGTATAGTTTTTACTTAAAGTCTGCACGACCTTGCATTAAGTTTAATTACAACTACTGTATTTAAGCAATAGTAATGGCGTTTGTTCGTGTTAAAAGGCGTCACAACGAAGATCCTTTTAACTCAATCGTTGTATCGCACAAGAAATTAAAAACTATCGGTACAGAGTTGAGTAGAGATTGTGTGTTTCAATTTGCTGCCACTTTAAAAGACGAGGTGAGTTTTTATACCCTACTATAACTAACTGTTAGTTAACTATAGGACTCATGCCTGCCTATGTAATAATATTAATTTAACAGTTTAATATTTTATCTTCGATTCTATTAAATTCAAATTTATTTTTAGAATGAAAACTTATCTCAAATATTGAAAGAGGTACGAGAAGAAAGATCTGTAAAAGTGTTAACAAAGATGAACAAAAACAAAAATATTAATAATGTGGTTGAACATTCTAAAGCAGAACGTTTGAAGGTTTGTCATTTATGATAGTCATTATTTATTACTCCTGAAGTCATAAAGTATGTGATTCCCTCGGTAAAAGTAACTATGAATAAAAATATCTAGATTAATATTTTTTCATATGTCTATCTTAGTTAAAAATGGTATAAACTGTAGTTACATTTTGAATTCTGTAAGTGAGCTCTAACTTCACCTGCGATTGAAATTGTTCTTTAGATATAGTAATTTATAATTGCTTTTAAACTAATATTAATAATGTATTTCCCTAATATCTTGTGCTAAGATGAGAGGGACAATACAATTCTTCAGTTTTTGTATTTCGCAAGTTGTACCTGCTTCTGAAAACATATTTAACTTAAACGCTAGATATTATATTTTGTAAACAGTAGACAATACTTATTAATTATTTCATGATTAATAATATTAAGTACTTACAATTATTTTGTTTAGCTAGTTAATACTCTTAGAGCTGTAAAACAAGACACAGTACCCATTGAAGAAATAGATGGAAAGAATTCAGAAATAAAAGTTGTTGATTTTGTTAAGCAAGTAGAAGATAATTGCAAGCCTTTAATAGATGAAGGAATTTCAATTGACTATGTATACGACTTGTATTATGCATCCAATAATGATAATAAATCAATTGATATACAAGATATTGATAGGTACCATTATAAATACTAAGTTATTACTAGTTATTGATTTTACCCACTTTAAGATAATTTAAAATTATATATTATATTTATTATTTTCAGTGTCCATGGATTAGATTCAGAAAATTTTTATAACATTTGTAAAAATATTGATAGCTCTGATAATGATTCCTCACATTGTGAAGATGATGATGATTCTAATGATGAAGGGAATTGGAGAAATGATTATCCTGACGAGGATGAAATGGATAATGAGTAATTTTATGTTTAAAATATATAATAGTTAGTTTTAACATTAGATAGTAAAATATTTTACTACTTGAATATATTTTATAACAACAGTATTTAGATATTCTACAAGTAATTATGCAACTGTTGACATTTGAGAACATTTAAAATAAATAACTAGCTCTGTTTTAGATTCATTGCAGATTGATGAGTGTATTAGTCACACAAGTATGATGGGCTTATTTTTCCAAAAAGTTACTTTTGTACTAGAAAAAATGTTTTAGTCTTGAATAGTGAAGGTGGTTTCTATCATCAAATTGGTTCTAATAAATATTTTGGGGGTCAACTGTTAAAATTTCTGTGTAGTTTTCAAAATAATTGCGATAAAAAAAATAGTAAACAAAAGAATATTTAAACAAGATAAGTTTTTGTCAAAATGGATTTTGTTATTTTGTTGTAATAATTATTGAATCATATGATGATTTATATCTATTGTATAGATACTTAACATTTTCACAAATTATTAAGATTAACATCTTCTAGACATAATATAATTTTTAAAATATTTTACCCTTTTTTATCAGTTTATGAGCTATTTATAGACTTGAAATATTGATATGTTTATGTAAGTATTAGAGGATGCTCGGTGTCTGCATAGAATCATTCATTTTATTTTGTAACTTAACACTTAACTCATCCAGTACAGTGACCTACTCAAGGAGATATCTCAAAAGTCAAAATATATTATATATCTGAGCTATTATCAATTTTTTTGTACATTTGAAAAATAGTATTTTTTGTTTTAAATTATTGAATTGTACCTACTGAGTTCAATTTTAAAAAGATCATGCTGATGTAGTACTGGTACGCTTACTCTTCTAAAATATAGATCTATCTCAAAGTTAATATTAATAATATCTCTTTGTTACCATAAATTAATAATTTTTTTTTGTATTTCAGTGAAGATGATTATTGTCAAAATCTGGTTTCTAAATCAAAACAATGGAATATAAATGGTGAGTATATTTATTATTTATCATATTTATTAAATTTTATAAAACTTAATATTAAATAGTTTGTTTGTGTTTGAGAACAGTTTTAATGTGGGATACTATAAGTATGCAATATGTTATACATATAAAAATGTAATAATATTTTATAATAATGTATTGTTTTAGATGATAGCAGTTCTGACACAGAAGAAAATATTGAAGACTATGATTTACGTTTTGCAAGATATAAAGAACGCGTGAAAGCAGAAGAACATTTTTTTTATAATAGTATAGATGAAAGTTCTGGTAGTACAAATGATTCAGATGATTAGATTTTGTAAAATAAATATTTATGAATGTGGATCAGCAATGTTCAAAAGATTAAATATTATTGATGTTTGTGTCAGTATAATTTGTATTTTCATAAACTATATTTAAAAAAAAAATGTTATTTTATGTTTTTTACTCTTTTAATTTTATATAGTAAATAATTATCATAGAAGTTACTAATTTCTCTGAATTTAATTAATATTCAAAATAAACAAATACAGTAAGGAATTATGCCTATTAAATTTATTTTTACTTTTAAATGTTAACCAGCATATCAATTGGATATTATGTTGATTAAAATTGAAGATTTTAGATTAGTAATTTATAATACAATGATGATTATTTATTTTCTGACATAATATTAAAACTTCAACTTCTCAATCTTCAATCTTCAATTTAAACTTCCTCTGTAATGAATTAGTCCACAAAGATATATTTATTTATTCATATTAAACAGTGAACTCAGTAAAGCTTGCATTGATGAAATATTTTGTAATTAATCAATGTCATTAACTATTTTGGATGTTCAAGAACTTCAATGAACTTCTGACTTCAATAATGAATAAATGGTATGATGTTTGTACAGCCATACTTAACTATTGCCCTCCAAGATTTTATAAGCTGTTAAAAAATAAAAATGAAGACACTCATTTAAATACTATAAAATTATAAATTTATTTTTGCCCTTTGTGAATTTTTAATCTTTTCTAAAGCACCTATCTAAACCCTAACTAATATTTTGGAACTGTCGGTACAACCCAAACCGCTCCCGTTGAAAAAGATTCCACGAATATGTAAATTCCCAAAAGCCTACAACATTCGACAAGAATTTTTTTTTATTATTTTTTTTTTGCATATTAAATTTGAAAAACAACATTTTACATTTTACGATTTTGATTTATCATACCTATGAATTTTGTACGATTGCAATTTTTATAAATTATTTCGCCGATAGTCCTAAGTAAGTATTAAGTGGGAAGGAGTTTGTGTTGTCAAAAATGGGAGTCGTTATGGTATAATGTAGTTACTGGTGAGAGTAGGTGGTTAGTGGGTCGAGATGGTGAGAAAGTGGGTTATTAAATAGATATTGAAGTTCTTATAGCGGAGTTGAGATACAACGAGAATAACAGTGAGTGTTTTTAAATCAAATTGGAGAGATACTTTGTGGATATAGAATACCTATAGTTTTTGAGATGTTGGGATTTAGGGGTTCGATAAGATACTAAATGTAACCACCTATTACCTATAGGTTTTATTATGTTTCAATCCTTCGATTGGCTTGCAGCTCCATTGATTTCTGTTCTCCATAAATCTCTCCATTAATGCTCTTGGCATAATTCTATCGTCGGACTTGAGTTTCAAACGTCATATAGAAACCATTTGTGCAAAGACTTAGAAATTTAGGTCTTATTAAACGTAATAACTGTGCGGATATGAGTTACGCGTGTCTACAAGTCCTGTAGGTACTTTGCTCTAGTTCGGTCCGTCTTGAAGTTTGGTCCACTGATTTGGAACCCCCGAAAAATAGGCTTAATCGATAAAATTAAAAGAAATGTCATTATAATGATTGCCTTTAAGCTAAATTTGTATGATTTACCTATTTCCGAAGTCGAGAACTAATGTAAAATATCCCCTATAGGAAGGCGTGATTCAATGACCGTCTATTTTTATATAAGCTATTAAATGGTACTGTCAACTGTCCTGAGCCCTTGAGTCTTATTGGCCTTAGAGCATCCTCCAGTTAATACTAGAAATAGTTCCCTATTTTATATTGCATCGAGTAACCCCAATTTTGTTCTCCATAGTACCACCAGTAGAATTCTACATTATTGTAACGATAATCTATCTGACTTCGATTTCTTTTTCGATGATAATAGTAATTTGAAAAAAACTACTTTGTTTTTAGTTTATTTTATTATGTTACTTGCAGAGAATGTACTAGTACTAGCTTTTTACTTATTCATATTATGTTATTTCCAATTTATATATACTGTTCAAACTCTCTACCCTCGAGGGCGTTACGTTCAATAAAATAAAAAGTAAAATAATTATAATTTATTACACATTTTATATTATACACCCATAATTGTGAATACTAAAATAACATAAATTATAATAAGTTTTTAATTGAATACAATTGATATGAGATTACAAATTAGGAATAGATATAGGTATCTACTGTAATCGATTAGTATTCAAATTAATGTTACTTTTTTCTTTCTTTGTAGGCTAGAATATTCCTGGACCTTTTTCAGTAAAAGTTTTATAATTTGCATGAACGTAAGTAAGGTAAGGGGGTGGCTTAAGAGAGCTTACCCCACTCTCAGTGTAGGTAGGTTATCTTTATTAGAAATTAATTATATAATTTATGAACTAAAAAAATACCTTATACATTTATAAACATAGATCCATCGAGACTTAACGAATAATAGTAAGGTATTGCCATAACTTTGACCTTAATCGGTCAAGTCGTTCAAAAGTTACACGATTAATAAGTAATAACAACTAGAATACACTCAAGAAGTCAAGAATTATATTATAAATGCCCAAAGAAGAAGATATACTTATGTATACTTTATAACTTTATTAAACCTTTTTTTATTAAATTTGTACAGTAACTACTTATCAATTTACATTTAATTTGTGATTATTTTAAATTGTATTATAAATAAAATTGTGTGTATGTAGTAGCTGGAAGGCAAATCTCCCGCTTTTTGTTCTTGAAACATTTTGGGCTCAATCCCTATGCATTCGAGGACCCTGTTTACATCTAGATATGATCATTTGATTCATTGAGACTTTTAAAGAGTGTGTAGCTTTGTTTTTCAATCCATCATAATATAGGGTGCTATAGAGTGGCTCACATAGGTATTTATTTTGTTTCGGTTCACAATCAGTATTTTATAAAAATGTCGTCTCCATATTAGTATGTTATAGGTACTCAATATATTAAATATGAAATATGAAATCGTAATACCTACTTAATTGTTAACGTTTTCTCCAAATCGGCGAACAAGTAGTATCAATGTATAATTGTATACTACCTATAGAGTAGGTAAGGTACCTACTAGAACTATATACCTGTATGGCTACCTATATATTATATAATATGTTATATGCGTAACATATTATGCATTTGTGCCTTGAGGAGTTGATAATTTGAAATATTATATTATAATGTCTATATTATATATTCGTGGTGTAAGTAACAATGTACTAAGTATCTATATGTAAATATAAAATATAAATACGCGTATAGATATGTTGTCGAAAAACTAAAACTAAATACCTATATGCCTATAGGTACTTGACTGACAAACGTCAGTTATTGGACTATAGGTAGGTTAGGTTATTTGTAATAATTAATATTACAACCTACCTACTACGTATTGTGCAATTATCATCTATATGGGCAAAGGTGGCAGAAGAAGAGGTAAAATGCTTACATGATTCTCACTTATTCCATGCATGGCTCAATATAATCCCATCCTTTAATTCGCGCACACGCTATTACGCACACTGTACACATAATACCATGACGCATACGTGGTACGTACACGGTTCGTGTGTGTGTGTGTTTAGGACTGCTGTAGTGTGGGTACCTACATAGGAAAGAAAAAAAAACGTGTTTTTCGAGTGTGCCGCCAAAGTTGTCAAATTACCGAAGTTTATTGCAAACGCCCTCCCGTGGGATGACTATCTGTATGTGTATATATGTAATATGTATGAGACATCGAACCGCCAGGGAGGAGAGGGTAGTTGTGGCAGTGTGTTGCAGGAAGACTTCATTTTTCGCTTACACGAGCGTTTCCTGTGTCGTCGGCGGCGTTTATTTTCCGCGGCCGTACGAATATTGGCGGACGTGCATTCGAGATTGGACTATTATTTCTTGCGATCATTGCCAGTCCGGCAGTGTCTGGTTGGCAGTTGCTACTACATATTGCAGTGGCGCCTTGCAAAGTCATTATAACAACTACCGATATACAATCACTACAAATAATATTACAATAATTAAAGAGCATTCGTAACCATTCACCGTATACACGTACATGGTATAAATAGTTTCTATAAAATACCCGATGAATACATTTATCGATTTAAGTGATTTGACCTACCTATTTTCTAGGTGTGCCCATTTAGTATGAATATCGGTAAGGTTATCGAGCATAAAACGATTGAGCATTTACCTTTTTAGCAACACGACTGAGCATAGAATGTTGTATGCGATGTTGCCACATTCAAGTTGCCGAAATTTTATAATTTATTATTTTTAGTTTTTACTTATTATTACATCAATTGGCAATTATTTTGATATTAGACTCGAGCCGTGAGCCGAGCCCAGGTTTATCGACAATGTTATTGGTTAATAAATTAGGTCTTTATCTAATATTCAAGCTTTCAACCAATATTTAAATCGTAAGAATACGGAATCTCTATTAATATATTTAAGCCAACTTAGAAACAGATACCAAGGCATATAAATTAAATTTATTATTATACATTTCAACTTCACGATAGGCAGTAACCAGAAAGTATGAATATTTTATCATTATTATTATCAAACATGAAACAGATCTATAAATACTATGTATACTATTATAATGTGACTATATAATGTTATTTTTTTGACATGTTATACTTTGGATTATTATAATTATATAATTAAATATTTTTGTATAATGCAGTTCAAAATTGAAAATGGCAACGTTGCAGAGTTTTTTATGCTCAATCATGTAGGTTTTCTTTTGTATTTCGATTCCTTTTGATACGAAGACAATTTTGCTCAATCTTGTCGTAAAAAATGTATTTTATGCTCAAACGTGTCTCAGCCATGAATATAGGTTCTCATTGCGCAAATGTTCATCATCACGTTTAATACCTATATAATTCCATATAGGTACCAACTACAAATATTATATGACATTTAATAGGTATAATATGTAATTATTCAAGCCCGGATTAACACTATAGTAGGCCCTAGATCTATGTGCTAATACCGTCCTGTAGCGTTCAGTATTTAAATGATTAAGAAAGCTAA